TCTGGCTCCTCTGGCTCCTCTGGCTCCTCTGGCTCCTCTGGCTCCTCTGGCTCCTCTGGCTCCTCTGGCTCCTCTGGCTCCTCTGGCTCCTCTGGATCCTCGGGATCCTCGGGATCCTCGGGATCTTCTAGCTCGTCTGGATCTTCGAGCTCCTCTAGCAGCGGCTCGTCCGGCAGCGGCTCCGAGTCTGGCTCGTCCGAGGGATCCACAACGGTCTACACCGTCCTTCCCATCGAAGTTGCCACCGGCGTTTCCATGCCCTCTGGTGTCGCCGCTGTTGGCTTCTCGACCACCACCTCCACCGCTTCGGCCATGACGACAACCGTCGCTTCCTACATGTACAAGAACTCGTCGACCTCCGCTGTTTCCAGCGGCCCCAGTCGCGTTGTGGTTTCTTCCACCAGCAGCGCCGAGACTCCCGTGTATACCGGCGCGGCCGCCACATTCTCTACCTCTTCTTTCGCGACCAGCATTTTCGGCGTCGCTCTGAGTCTTTTCGCCGTTTTCTTCGTCTAAACCGACTGTCCTGCCTGAACTGTGGAGTTAAATAGAATATAAACAGACCGTAAGAATGGTGGCAGTATATATTTAATGGAATTTTAATGTCAATACTATTTATTTTATGCAAGGTCCCTCTGGAAGTAATCAACATTATGTCCAGTCCTTATGTTTCCACCCTAAACGTATATATATATCTAGAGAAAGCAGGAACGAATTAATGGCCATTATATATTTTGTACTTACTACCTAGTTTGACAAGAAAGTTATTACATAAATGTACTCGGTAGTTCAATCATGATACAAATCTACTTCAAATGATCGGTCCGCACGATATAATCGTCCTCGACATCTGCGTCGACGTCTTCCTCGCCTGCATCCATCTCTTTGCCCTTCTTGACGGATTTCTCCCTGGACTTGCCGTTGACTTGCTTCCCTTTCCGTTCACTGACGGGTCCATCTACTGCTCCTGCTGCTCCCATCGTAAGTGCACTGATTGCTTCCCCGATCGTCTGTGGTGGCTGCTGCGTCTGCGTCTGCGTCTGGTCTGTTGATTCGAAGGAGCGTCGAATGCGTTCAAAGTGTTCTAGCTCTTTGGCACTGTTATTTTGTCAGTAAAATCCAAGATATAATGTATATTAGAGGAACATACCTAACGCTAGGAACAAGCTCGTCCTGCGCATGAGCAAAATCCTCCTCCGTGACGGTAACCGCCACGTCGTCCGGGGTAGCGAGATGGTCGAAGAAGTAGGCCGTGCTGACCTTCTCGCCGGGCAGCTGGGCGATCTTCTTATCGACAGCCGTGGCCTTGCGAGTGATGGCTTTTAGCATGGCATCGGAGCAGAGCGCATACAGGTCCGCGCCCGTGTAGGTGAGGGGCAACCGGTCCGCGACACGGTGCAGGTCTACCGTGGCATCCAGGGTGAACTTGCGGGTCAGCGCTTGTAGGATGGTGGCCTGTTTGGCGTGTGTGTCCGAGACACCCAGGTAGAGCATCTTGTCGAAGCGGCCGGGTCGGAGCAGCGCTGTGTCCAGCAGGTCGGGCCTGTTTGTCGCGCCGATGACGAAAACGCCGCCGCCATTCTCCTCGCCGCCGTTCATCCCGTCCAGTTCGGCAAGGAGCTGGCTGACGATGCGGTCCATCACTCCGCCGCTGTCGCCCTGGTTACCGCGTTTGGGCGCCACCGAGTCCAGCTCGTCGAAGAAGACGACGCACGGCCGTGCATCCCGGGCCCGCTGGAACACGCGCCGCACGTTTGCCTCCGACTCACCGATGTACATGTTCAGCAGCTCGGGCCCCTTGACTGAGAAGAAGTTGAGAGAGAACTCGGTTGCGATCGCCTTGGCCAGCAGCGTCTTGCCCGTCCCCGGCGGTCCGTAGAACAGAATTCCACTGCGTTTCTTCATGCCGCGCGCAAACAGCTCGGGTCGCTCCAGCGGCAGCTGGATCGTCTCCACCAGCGCATCCTTGACGTTCGTCAGGCCGCCCACGTCCGCCCAGCTCACGTTGGGAATCTTGGGTGCTCCAATCGCGTCGGCAAAGTTCTTGCGCGCGGCGTCGACGGCGCTGTCAAAGTCCGCTCTGGTCACTCCCTTCCCATCGCCGCCAGACACAAGGATATCGCGAGTGGTCACCTTGGCCCCGGATGACGAGAGCGACGTGTTGGAGCTGGCAAGTTTCTCCAACCGATCGACCCGTGCTGTCAATGCCCGTTCAACCACGTCGACCAGGTCGCCCGCGACGAGCGCCGCGGTCTTCATGGCAACGGTGGCTAGGTCGACGTCTGGCGACAGACGGATGCCGCGTTCCGCGACCGCGTTGCGGAGGATACCCTCGCGCTCTTTCTCCTCCGGGGCGGACATCTCGAACTCATGCGTGAAAAGGCTGCGAATGCCCTCGGGGATCTGCTCGACATCCGTGGTGGTCGCGATGACGACTCGCGCGTCGGCGACGATCTCGACCAGCGCGGTGACGATCCGGTCTGCGGTCAGCACATCGATGTGCCGGAGCAGTAGGGCGGTGCAGGAGGAACCGCAGTGGCCCAGGGCGCGCTCCGCGCGGGCCTTGAGGTAGGCCTCGGTCTTGACATCGCCCCCGTTGGCGGCTGCACCCTCGGTTAGGATCTCGTAGGCGTCGATTGAAAACGTGTGCAGGCCGATATCCGCCGCGGCGCGCATGGCCACCGTTGCCTTGCCGATATGCCGCTGCTGCGACTGCAGTAGGATGACTAGCGGCTTCATGCCCAGCTGAATTGCCCGGGGACTGGTCGCGACCCGCATCAGCTCACGCAGGCGGCTCTGCAACGGCGAGACAAAGGCCGGCGGCAGGGCGTCGGTGACCAGTCCGTGCATATGCGGGGATGAGGACACCTCGCCGATCGGTTTGGGAAGCGCCCGTACGCCTAGCCAGTACTCCCAGCCGTTGTCCAGCGTGCCGGGAATGCGGCTGATCTCGCTGCCCGCTTGGACCATGCGGGTCGTCGCCGAGTCGATCACCGCAACACCGCCCCACTGCTCATCGAGAGACGGCTCGTCCGGTTCGTCAAGACTCGTGGGGGCAACGTGTCCGACGCGGAACCAGGCGACGCCGACCTTTCGGGGTCCGGCCCTTTGAGCGAGACGAATCGTCAAGTCGTCGTCATTGGCGCCATCGGTCGAGAAGACCGCGCGGCCGAGATTCTCGTCGACACTGATACCCACCAGGTCGCCACTTTTGAGGATACGGTGCCGCGATTCAAAGTACTGTTTCAGCCCCGCAAACAAGGCCGGCTGGAGGACGCGGTCCATGGACAGCGGGGTAGAAATCTTGAGTAAAGTAACCTCTTTGGCCAGCGGCGGAGTGCGAACGGCACTTGTGCGCATCTGCTGCAGAAGACCTGGCTTGTTGGAGAGGCCGGCGCCGCCGGCGGGGGCCGTGGGGAAGGTCATGGGCGAGATACGCAGATACTTTGTGTTCTCAAGGTTGTTGAGCAGGAGAGGCGGCACGTACACGGAAGGGGTCAACCGCTGCGAGGGACGCAGCTGCGAGATACTTGAGCGCCGGTCGGCCGACTGAGGGTTGATTGAATATCGCGGTTTATTCGGGGAAGGTAATCCGGGCAACCCGTAGATCTTGACGGGCCGCCAGTCGCCCGGATCTTCTTCGTACTCGTTGTTGAATCTGCTCATATTCAACGAGGCGAACATGTTGTTCACCTGGGGCTCTTCTGTGGCTTCAATGCGCACCCAATCACCCGAGAAACAGCCGACCTTGGCCAGTGTGCTAATGTCGACGAAGATGAAGGAGTCAAGGTCATCGTCTTCTCGTGGCCGGGGGTGCAGAATCTCGTTGGGAATAGGCTGCAGAAGGCTCTCGGTCTTGAAGACCTTCCCGCCGCCGCCGCCGCCGCCGCCGCCGCCGCGCCCCCCGGGTCGCATCGTGGTTGCCGTGAAGTTAGACGCCACTGATCCGGGAGTTTGCGTGCCGCCATCCAGCCGCCGGCCACCAACCAAGACTCCTCCCGGCCGGGGGGTGGCAGCAGTTGCGGCCGACATGATCCCCGAGGGCGGTTGCGGCAGCTCCGGAGCGGCAAGCGAGATCATATCCTCGAGAGAATCATCCGAGGCGTCGCTAGAATGGCCACCAGTGGAGTCGTCCTCGGTCTCCGTGTCGTCCGGGGCGGACGAGCTCTCCATCTCAGTACCGCTCTCAGTGGCCTTGTCCTCGGCGGCGGAGTAGAACTGCTCGTTGGCGGTGTCGTCGGCCTCATCCTCGGCAACCTGCTTCAACAGAGCCGAGCCAGCGGGGAGACTGCTGCTCTTCTGCGCCAAGCTGCTGCTCTTGCTGCCGTTCTTCGTCGAGGCGCGGGCCTGGAGCAGCACTATCTGGGTGGTGGGCGCCAGCAGACCTTGCGAGACGGGCTCGCAGAAGGAGACGCGCGCAGGCGGCGGGGGTGCATAGGTGATCGGATGCGGGGGCAAGGGCAGAGGCAGGACATCTCCAGCATGGACGATCAACTGCGCGCCCAGGGCCTCCCGGATGGCCGCCCTCAACCGGTCCTCGGTTTCAGCGACGTCCCTCTTGCTCGCCCGTTTCGTATCAATCGCCGCTGCCGCTACCCCCTTGCCCCCAGCCTTTGCCCACAGCCCGTTGGGGACCTGCAGGCTGGTAGTGCGGAACCCGCCGCCGAAACGGTTCTGGATGTCATCGTGGTTACGCAGCAGATGGCGCTCCACGGTCACGTAAACCGTCTCCAGGTGTAAGGGAACGACATCGAGCACCCTAATCTCAAAGGCACGTTGCAGCGGGGTCGCATGCTTGGTGGGATCAAGGCGGGCAAGCGCCTGTACAAAGGGCTGTAACGCGTCCGCGGCGTCGGGGAACAGCACGGTCGAATTCGGCACGGCGTTCGTTCGGGAGGCCGACGGCGTGACCTGGACGGGAACGACCGTCCAAGAATGCTCTTCCACGCCCGTATAGACGGGGGTCAAGGGGGAGATGGCGACGTAGAGCGTGTTTTGTCCAGTACGGTCTTCGTCTGTTAGTAACCACTCTTTAGAAAAGAACACTCATCTCGGGGGAGCAGTCCTACCATTGTCCTGGAACAAATCGCTCGCAAGATCCTCCGACAGCAACCCGACCTTCCCTCGCAGCTGAGGATCAATCACTAACCGCGCCGACAGCGGTGGGCGGTTCTGCAGACGTCGCCGGGGGCTACGCCTGGGACGTCGTGAGAGCTGTCCGGAGGAGGACTGGCCGGCGGGGGACGAGAGGTCCATCACGGACCGCGTGGGGGATAAGTCGTAGGGTAGAAACCAATCCACGAGTTCTAGGCCATCAATACAGAGAAAAGAATATATATACACAGAGAGAACCACGCAAAAGACTCGGTGAGAGAGACTCGGGAATAGAATCGCCGTTGCTCGTGAGACCCTCTGGAGGAAGGAAGCCGAACTCGTGACTCTCCGCCTGATTCTGCCGAGCCGAGGCAGACGTCAGAAGCGGTTACTAAGCATTTAGTAATCATTGCTTAGTAAGTATGCTTACTCATGTCTTAGTCAGAGCCGGTGTCGGGGTTGATCGGCCGACATCAACAATACTGTATCAGTCAGTGTATTATTCAAGTATTATTGAGCCTGGTCGCTGGTTAGAAGATTCCTAAGATAAAGGATGATAGTCCAGCCTTGTGCTGAACTAACTAAAATGACGTGCTTCCTGATCGACTGATAGTGGGGGTTATAAATGTGGCCTCATACGGAGTACAATACCTACTACCTTGGTACTGTAGTACTACCAATTATTACTGGATAGAAGAAACAAACTGCAAGAATCCAAGAAAGAGGAAGAAGAGATAAAGTATCATGTCGTCTGCTCTCATCGCTGCCTTTGCTGCTCGTCGCTCTGTGTACGGCCTGGCCAACACTAGCCCCATCCCCGACGAGCAGATCGTGGAGATCGTCTCCCAGGCCCTGGCGAACACGCCCAGTTCGTTCAACGTGCAGTCGGCGCGGGCGGTAGTGCTTCTGCACGATGACCACCGCAAACTCTGGGACATTGGCGACGAGGCCGTGAAGGCGGAGTTGCCGGGGGCGTACAATAGCTTTGCGCCGAAGATTGCGGGATTCAGAGGGGCGTATGGATCTGTATGTTCTTCTAAGCAGCTCTTTATCAGCTACCAGACCGAAACTAAATGCTGACTGTCTTAGGTGTTGTGGTTTGAAGATCAAAGTGCTCTGGATACCCTCAAGGGCAAGAACCCGGGTATTCAGCATATGGTCAAAGAATGTACGTTCATATGAGCCAGCCAGTACTAGGCATACAGACGGTATATTCTGACGTGCGATAGGGTCTGAGCATTCGAGCGGAATGCACCAGTATGTTGGTAAGTAAATATAAAAGAATATTAGTACTCATAATGTTCAATACAGTACTAACAGAGTAGTATGGACTGCTTTCAATCAGGAAGGCTTCGGGTGTAACCTGCAGCATTACAACTTCAGCGACACCTTCACCCGCCGCGTGCACGAGACATGGTCTATCCCCGAGTCGTGGACGCTGAGGGCACAGCTGGTCTTCGGACAGCCGACGGGGGCGCCCTTGAAGGAGAAGACCTTTGTTCCCATCGAACAGAGATTGAAGGTCTTCGGTTTGTGAGACAAGAGAATGCATAGACTGTTTCATAGATAGAGATAGAGTTGAGAGCTCTGAAGTCTAAAATCAGCTAGATGCCTTACCTATAAGGGGGAGGATCTACCTTCCAGTATGAGATATGTTCATTATTGAGTATTAAACATAGGTTCTAGCTCCAGGGTATCATGTTAGCATACAAAGCATTGAATGAAACGAAGGAAGAGAAATACCAGTAATGGCCATGCGTACAACTCATGATTGCATATAGCATGGTTCCGTACTCATCCAGGTTTTCCAACCAGCGATCCACCCTCTGCCGCCTCCTGGCAACATCTACGCCGTCTAGATTCGGAGGGAGAGGCCACAGTTCGTCAATGGTGAGACTGCCCTCCATCCACCCCACCAGGTGGATATTGTACTCCTTCTCCCATCCATAACGGGTGTCTGCCTGCCAAAGAAGTTTATTAGCCGGAGCGGGCAAGCCCGTCAGTTCGGTGCCGAGAAAAGTCGGCAGCCCCTCCTGAGTGGTGAGGATGCTGTCGAACAAATACATCACAAACAAGGTTCGCCGTTTCGCTTCGGCAACGATCCACTCCTCCCACCTCGGTCGGGCCCGGTGTTGATCTGCTGCACATACAAGTCCCTGCCGGGCTGATGCACAAGCCAGCTCCTGTAGCTTGGTCATGATGCTGCGGAAGTGGTCTTTGAAGAACTGGTTCAGCTGGAAGAAGAGTACTAGGGTGTAGACTAGGTACGCCTGGAAGGCGGCAAAGAGGGCCTCGGCGTGATACCGGTCCTGTAGGTCGTACACACTCTGCATCTCGCGTCGGATAATACTAGCAGCAACGTCTTGGCTGCCCGGTACGGGTGGGTTGGAACAGATCCGAACCAAGCTCAAGCAGGTAGTCAGCGGCGATCCAACCGGCTGGGTCACCATCTGTTTGGAATGGATAAACGGTAGAACTCCCCGTCCCCCGACGGCCACGCTCGCGTACGATTTCAACATATTGTAGATGAAGGCACTCACCCCGGGAGGGTATTTCTTGACGGTCTGCCCGGGAACAGGAATAAATGCCTGAAGCCAGCGGTTCTGGATATCATCGGCATTTATAGGACACACCAAATCAAGATCCGAGAAATCAATAGCATCCAACCTACTAGACAATTCACCCCTTCCCTCTTCCTCCAACGGGCGGGTTCTCGATGGAGTGGTGCTCGGGGTATGCAGCCGGTCACCTTGCCCACTCAGGGGTGGCAACCCATTCTCAGGGGTGGCGAATGATGAATCTAGACCTGAAAACGGACTGGAAAGCTGCCCTGCCTGTGTATCTTTGCCCAGATTCGTCCTTGGCGCTGTCCTTTTCGGCTCTGTCTGGGGACGAGTACAAAGCAGCCCCTTTTGCGTACATCTCGTACAACGTCCACTGGCAACTCTTCGATCACATCTCACTTTGGAACTGCAGCACTGCTGGCAAGCCTTTTGCCTCGAGGTAGAGTACCGTGACGTTCGCATCTGGTCGGTTGTGAAGGACAGAAGATGGTCTTCATACTGAGACGAAGGGTCGTCCATAACAATGCTTATGTAAGATGCGCTTATGTAAGGAATTTCGGACTTGAAGGAGTGCTGCTGCTGCTGAGCTTCAACTCCGAGATTCTTCACTATTACAAGGAAAGTGGTTTTTGCTCCCTGCTACGATGATTCTAACCCTGAAGAGCCGTTTCGATGGAAGCCAACTTCAAACCCACCTCCAGGGGGAGCAGACCGAGCATCACATGGGAGAAAATTGCTGTCTGGTCGACGGGCAACTCCAGTACATTCTCTGTGGTCACAAACACCTGGTAATCGAGATCGAAGAGCCGGTATGTCGTGGACATAACGACTGCCGAAAGCCTCATCCCGGACTGTCGTTGTGATCAGCATGGCCGACTGGAAGACAGGGTGATGCCACTCGCGTCACGGACAATAACCACGGTTTTGATACCTCGTGCCCTCAAGATCTGCTCCAAAGCGCTACCCATGGTAGCAGACTTGTCACCAAATACGTTAGACAGGGTGGTCTGGGCAGTGGAATATGAGATAATTGAACGAATGGCCAGATTGACGAGATGGCCTTGAACCTATCCGAATTTTCGTTACGGAGTTGAGGAAACTCTTACCTCAAATCCGACGCCAATCCATATATTTACTTGCCACATTCTCCGACAGTGTGTCTTTATTTATCTCGACTTTCCAGAAGACCGAGGAGTTATTCTGCTTCAGTGCTTATCTAATAGAAACTATTAATACGTTATGTCTGCTGAAACCACTACAGCCCCCGTTGAAGCAGCAACAGCTGCGCCATACAGCATATTTGACAAAAAACAGAAATGGTTAATTGTGATCGTTGTTTCGACTGCTGCAACCTGTGAGTGACAATGGCCTTTCCACTGAATCGGTGGTAGTGCTGACTCTCCCACCGTCTCTGGATTCGCATCTAATATCTATTTCCCCGCCTTGCCCACCATCGCAAACGACCTCCATGTCTCCCTGGAGTTGGTCAACCTGACTGTGACATCTTACCTGATCTTGCAGGGTCTGGCACCCAGTCTCTGGGGCCCGGTCTCGGACGTCAGAGGGCGTCGGACAGCATATCTGTGCACATTTGTGGTCTTCCTCGGTGCGTGCATTGGCCTCGCAGAAAGCAAGAACTACGCCACGCTGGTTGTTTTGCGATGTCTTCAAAGCACCGGCAGTGCTAGTACCATTGCAATCGGCGCCGGGGTCATAGGTGACATCACCACCCGTGCCGAACGAGGAGGCTACATGGGTGTTTTCCAGGCGGGTCTGCTTGTCCCCGTGGCGGTGGGACCGGTGATTGGCGGTGCGATTGCTGGATCCTGGGGATGGAGAACGATCTTCTGGTGTCTGGCGGTTTACAGCGGGGTCTTTCTCTGTCTTCTTCTCCTCCTGCTACCGGAGACACTGCGGTCCATGGTCGCAAATGGAAGCCGGACTCCATCGAGCAATCTGTTGGCGCGGTATCCGCTGACAATCTACCAGAACACAAGTAGCATCCAGTGGCAGAAGTCACGGAATGGTGGTCATGCCCTAGAAAATAATACGGCCGTTGATCTTCTGGGTCCGCTTCATGTTCTTCTCAGCCGCCACGCCGCTCCGATCATCTTCTTTCTCGCGGTGTACTATGCTGTCTGGCAGATGAGCATCACTGCCATGTCCTCGCTTTTCAAGAGTCACTATCATCTATCAGAGATCCGGATCGGCCTAACCTTTATTGCCAACGGGGTAGGATCCATGGTCGGAACGCTGGTGGCAGGGAAGATCCTAGACGCCGAGTACCGTCGCGTCAAGACGCAACATGAGGCTTCACTCGACGTCCATCTTTCGCAAGCTCGTCGAAAAGGAGAGGAAGCTTTCCCTCTGGAACAAGCCCGCCTTCGCCTCGTACCCATTTTCGCTCTGCTACAATGCCTCTCGATCCTACTCTTCGGCTGGACGATCCAGTATCCGCAGAAAGTGCATATCGCCGTCCCCATTGTGTCGACGTTTATCACCGGCTGGACGGCGGTGTCCATGCAGTCACTCATCATGACCTATCTAGTGGATATCTTCCCGGACAAGAGCGCGGCAGCCTGTGCGAGTCTGAACCTGGCACGATGTCTGTTCGCCGCGGCGGGGACAAGCTTCATCATGCCCCTGATCGAGGGGGTGGGCGTCGGAGTGGCGTTTACGATCTGTGTTGCTGTACAGTTTGTGGCGATGGTTGGTCTTCTTGTTCAATGGAAATATGCCAAGGGAGATACCCTTTGACTACAGCTATTTTTGTAGTTAGATCTGACGACTAGCTATAGAATGGATTTGATAGTATTCTTAGGTTCATCTACTCGATTATAATAATAATGCCTCACCAATGCCTCACAATTCCATTACTAGTAGCTGATCCTGCCATCCTCAATATAGCTTTAATACGGCTTCTTCGGATTAATTATTCCAGAAGCTACCAGTGGTTCAGGTACTGTTTACTAATTCCCACATGAACTAGTAACTTGACTAGTTCTCTATCTAATTAACTAGCTGGATTGATTAGGCTACAGCATTATCTTCTACAGCTTCAGTTCTAAATTTCCAAGAGTCTGGGTCACAGTGGAACCAAACCTGATTCTACACAGAGTCTATGAATAGTAATAAGCGTGTCTTGTCTACTGCCTACTCCGTAGTCCATACTTCGTAAATTTAATTTCTACAGGAAACCGTCCGTCTGAACTACTCCGTAGCTGAAGTTTGTCAAGACCTTTATTATTAGTTAGTAGCTACTCCGTAACTAACTAATAACTATCAGAATCAAGTGAAGCGAGACTTTCTGACTTATTACCATGTATCATTCCAGCCCGATTAGGTAACCATGTCCGATTCGGCAAGAAGACGGGCCGCAACTTGATTACCAGATTGGGAAAGGTCAGGGTCTGGCGGGCGCGTCAACTATGCTCCGTCTCCAATCACGGGACTTGTTAATATTTCTATTTTCCGCCCCCAAAACATTAATTTGGAATTGCAACAAGACGACACCAGTTCTTACACCAGTTCTTGATGAGTCTCCCTGCTTGAGGAATGCTATGCTACTGATGTTGCCAAGGTCCATGCCACGGCTGATGGTTTATAGTCTTGATTTCTCAATCTGACACATTGCTCTACCTCTCAGAAGTACTACTCCGTACGGAGTACTACGAGGTAGTAACCATGGAGTCTTCGATTGCCTCCACCAATGGATACTACGAGTAGTGCCGACTAGTACGGAGTATGCTGGGGTCTGCACATTGACTTGGCTCTGGTGAACAGCACGCTACTGTTTCCCACGATTTGACATACTCCGTGAGTCCGTAGTACTAGTATTCTTGTTCTCCCCCGACTCTCAGTGAACTCCGCTACCAGAGTGCGTCGCCTACTGCCAGGACTATCCCTCCGTACTGCATAGCTGAACGAGAACCGGTTCTACACAAGTAATTCTTACTGCTCCTGCAGAGTCAATCCAATCAATGACTCGCTGTTGACTGCCGACATGCTGGTGGAGATGATCGCTCTGCCCTATGGATGTGCTGGTTCAGCCCCCCAGCGGAACGGCGCCAAAAAAAAACCCCCCCGTATGCACAGAGTTGCACGTTGATTAGTGACCGGCACTCGTTATCCTCAGGGCATGGGACGAGGCGCAGCATGGGACTGGGGGGTGACGTAAAAGTCGCCGAGTGCTTAGTTAGTTAGACTGAGACTCCATAACCAACTCCTAGTTAATTACTCGTACCTAGCAGTTATAGGGTGGCTGTTCTTCAGGGAACGTGTCTAAGTAGCCTCGGGCGTCATCAAGCCAAGCTGTAGTACGACATCCAACCTGCCAGAACGAATAAAAGAGAGACAGAGAGAGGGAGAGAGGGAGAGAGAGGAAAGAGAAGAAGATATGCAGAATCAGAGGCGGAGAGTCACACACACTCGCTCCAGGGCGGGATGCCGGACCTGTCGGTGGGTACTCCCTCTTAGCTACAAAGCATCCTCAACCCCCCTTTGTCTCATCGTGTGTGGCTTCTAAATGCTTTCTCTTGTGTTTTCCCTTCGTTTCCTGCGTTTAGACTGAGACATATCAAATGCGACGAGACCCCCCGCGCGTGTCGAAACTGTGCCTCGAGCGGGCGAGTCTGCGATGGCTACGATCTGCACCGTCTGCCGCCGGGCGGAGGACGCAAGAGCCGCTGCTCGCCCACCCTGTCCGTCTCGTTGTCCACCATGATGACTGCCTTACCGGCGGGAATCACCAGTGACGAGCGGCGGTGCTTTGCCTTCTTCCACCACCGCACCATGCCCGCCATGGTGGGCTTCTTCCCCTCCCCGCTGTGGCAGCAGCATTTCCAGCGGATGGGCCACGCCGACCCGGCCATCTTCCATGCGGCCGTCGGTCTGAGCGCCTTACACGAGGACTACGAGGCCCACGGCATGCCGCTCTGCATGGAGGATCCCCAGAGCCACCACCACTGCTTCGCCTTGGAGCAGTTCAACCGTGCCGTCGCCTGTCTGAGCGGTCGCCGCACCTCCCGCGACCCGAAACTCCGCGAAGTCACCCTCATGTGCTGCCTCCTCTTCATCCTGACCGAGTTGCTGTGTGGGAAATACCAACGGGCCCTGTCTCATCTGCGCGGGGGGGTTTTCATCCTAAAAGACATGCGAGACGCGGGCTTATTGCTGGCGGACAGCCCACACCACCAAGGTGATCTGGGTCGCTGTCTGGCCGACGTGTTTACCCACCTGCAGATGCAAGCATCTTGTTACAATGCGTCGAGTCTGTTTCGGAACGAGGAGGAGAAACAAGAAGAGGGAAAGGAAGAACAAGAACAAGAACAACAAGAAGAAGAAGAAGAAGAACCGGCTACGCTGTTCACCTTCCTGGGTGTCGCTGATGCCCGCCGAACGTTCGACTTGCTCATGGGCGGTCTGTACCCGCTCACATCGACCATCAAGCTCCTATCCCCGCAGGAGCTGGGAATACAATACACCACTCTTGCAGCCCGGATTGCACGGTTCCAGCGGCGACTAGAACTGTTCGAAACCTCTCTTGCTGCTTTGGTCGCCCGCTCACACGCCTCGTTCACCAGCCACGACCGCGTCGGTATCGAGGTGCTCCGCTTATGGTGTCTTGAGACCTCGGTCTTGCTGTCTACTAGTCTGGCGGGGGACGAGATGGTGTTTGACGAGTACACTGCTGAATTTGAGCAGATGGTCGTCCTCAGCAATCACATTGCGCACAGCTTCGGTGATGAAAAGGATTCTCCTTCTCCTTCTCCTTCCTCCTCTTCTTCTCTTACCTCCTCTTCTACTACCGCTTTATCCTCTTCTTCTTCTTCTTCTTCTTCTTCTTCTTCTTCTTCTTCTTCTTCTTCTTCTTCTTCTTCTTCTTCTTCTACTACTACTACTACAAGGCCAAGTTTCTCACTATATATCGGAATAATCCCCAGTCTATATTTCGTGGCCGCAAAATGTCGAGACCCAATACTACGCACACGGGCGATCCGCACATTACGCGCCTGGCCTCACCGCGAAGGAATCTGGGACTCAACCTTTGCGAGCATGGTGGCGGTCGAGATGATGTCCGTCGAGATGGGGAGGGACGTGACGGCGTATGTGGAGGGGCGGGAGGAGGCCCTGGCTGCCGTGCCGGACAGGGCGGCGCGGATCTGTCATACTGCGACGCGGTTTGTCGACCGTCGCTCGGTGCAGGTCATGTATCGTGCTAGAGATGGTAGGATCTGTTAGTCTACTAGTGGACTTCATTATTGATAGTATAACTAGTAGTTACCTAGCTACATACTATATCATACTATATCCACTATAAGAGATAACCTAGGTATGTACCGGTACTATTTACTATACTCATAGATGATGATATCATACTATTATATAGTATAGTATGAGTCCATTCTAGATATTGAAATGGCTAGTAGATACTACGTACTACTACGTAGTACTCGTAGTACTCGTAGTGTCAATGTTGATGCCTACAGAATAAGGTTGGTAATGTTTCTACCTGCTCAGCCTCAGGTAGAAATATTGTAGCCTTACAGCATACATACATACTACTAACTCTAGGTAACTACCTGGGTAGTTAGTTAACAGTGATCTAGTAACTATAGTTACTACTTAATATCAGTCTATGAGTGATAGTAGAAAATACTACTAATCGACTATTCTGGTAATTATGTGCGAATTCAGTCCCTTAATTCTTAGTCCTGACCGCCGGAATGCGTAGGGCTGGGCTGAGCAGTGGCTCTACAGAGGGGAAGAGGCGGAGTCTCAATACGGAGTAGCTGTGCCGCCCCTAGTCTAGTCCTAGTCCTACTAGGAGTCCATATGTACTCCGTAGTACAGTCCCTGACTCCTCCCTAGTACTTACGAGCCCCTCCAAGTACCGGTGATTACTACGGTAGTAGCAAGTTATAATTTACCAGGTAACTACTGGTTGCTCATTGTACGGAGTAGTCTCTACCTACCTAGTAGTTAGTTACTAGGTACCTACGTACCGACTAGTAAACTCAGGTGAGACATTTCCATGACGTCGACAACGGTGATAAGGCGTGGATGAATTACTCGCTCTGTACAGCTGATTCCACGGAGATTGAACGGACATCTCGTATTGTAACGCCCTCTGTACCCGGTTCTTTGTCTGAGTGAGGCTCTTTATACCGCTAAATATAGGTGGGGGCGAAAAGGATCCATGGAAGGCTGGGTCGGACAGTCAGAGTCGGACAGTCGGAGCCGGTAGATGACTAAGATGAAAATCCTTTGATTGACTTGGAGTACATAATATTCAGTAAAGGTCAGATGTAAATAAATAAACAATCCTAGGTACAGAGTAGTACAGAGGATACTAACATATGCTCTGTAGGTACCTAGTAGGTACTACGGTACCTGGTAATTTACTGGTAACTAGGTAGTAACTACCAGTAACTAGTTAGTTAACTCATACAGTACTTACTTTGTCCCTCTTTGTACTTTGACTGTCGCCACAACCGTTCGTAAACCATTCCCGATCCAGTCTAGCCCCGCTCGTCTATCAGGCAGACACCCAAAGACGCCTCAGCCAAGCACCGCCCGTCTGTCGCCCGCGCGCCTCCGCCTAGGCATTTCTGGCCTCATTGTCCAGCGTCTCCCTCGTCCCATCCTTTTTTTTTATCCTTATTCCTTTGCCGTCGTCCGTCTTCAATCATCTCTCTGTGACTCGTATGAATCATATCGTCTGCCCGGTCTGTTTGGAGTGGGTAGTCTCCGCTGCACACCGTCAACCCCGACCTCGTTTACCCTCTCTCCGCCCGACCTCAACGCGAGCTGCTTATCGGCCTCAATTCACTACCTCCCTAGTACTTACTTAGGTCGTCTACCTGGCTAGCTTGAGCGGTCGCCTGGGGTGCAGATTTGTCCTGGGAGAGATTCACTCGTTGTTCCTTTGCATATATCCCATCTATATCATTCCATATATCGCCATTTTTATTGCTGCCTATCGTTATCATCTCTTCGACATCATTTCCTGTGAACCGAAATCTATCGAGTGAATATAAAGACTCATCATCCTTTTCTGGAAACCCCGCCCCAAAAGATCCAGTGACCGCTGTCAGGTCTGGATAAAAGGTGAGGATACCTGTTCCGTTCCATCTGGACGGCCTTAAAAACTGATCATTCATGGAGACCCTCGTGGCTGTGACTCCTTCCTACGTCATCTGATTGCTCCTCCATCTCATCTACGTGAGTCACAGTTCGTTTTTGTTCTCAGGTACCGTGGCCATCCGGGGCCCGTGGTTGTACACCGTTCCTTCCTGCTAACCCGCCTGTATGGCTAGGCCTGTTCCTGCTCTGCCCGCCATGGCTGCTCCTCAAGACCAGCAACACCGGCTTCACCCGCGCCGTCGCCCATTAAAGGCACAGCCCCCATCCCTGACGACGGACACCCAGGAGGAGTCCATCGCTGCCTCTGCCTCTGCCCCTCCCCCTGCCTGTGCTTCATCATCGTCGTCGTCAGGTCGGGCTAGTATCCCCTTGAGGAAAGGAGAGACCTTCCATTCACCCACTACCCCACAGTCTGCCGACCGCGACGACCCTATTCTTAACATCCAGTCGCTCCCTCGTCGTACTCCTACCTGCTCTCGTACCTTGGAGGCGATCGCTTTTGGTGAACAGCGTATGGCCGATATCCTCGGCCGCTTGAATCTTAACGACGACTCGGACTGCCCTGTTGATGACGACGACGTTGACAACGTTGACAACGACAACAATAACGTCTCCAAGGATATTCTTACTTCCCGGACCGGTTCCGAGGTTGATATGGGAGAGGACCATCTTCAGCGCCACGGTTCCGCATCCCCTCGTTTGGATACTTCCACTAAATTGACCCGAACCCACACCCACACCTCGGACAGCGGGCTAGGCTCCTCCATCGCTAGCAGCCAGGCCGTCTCTACCTCAGGCAAAGACAAAGGTATATCACCTTCTTCCACCCTACTACCATCGTCTCTCGTCGTTTCCACCACAAAGTCCAAAGCCGTGTCTGATCCGCTTGAACCAGTCAAAGAGGGGCGCATCTCCGTCGAGTCCCGTGCGGGTGCCTCCGTCACCCACGAAACCCAGTCGGCCATCACCAGCTCCATCTCCGAGTTCGACTCCCAGATGTCCCAGAGAAGACAACTGCCTTTAGCCGCTTGCAAAAAGATCGAGCGCTACATCCTCCTCCCCATTCTCCAGGAAGAACGCCTCAAACCCTTTCACCCTCTGGTGGAGAGCCTGCCCAAACGTATTCTCAATAAAGAAATCAGCTGCCTGCGTGATCTAGAAAAGACCCTTTTGTGGTTGGCACCGGTATGTCCCTCTTTTAACCCCCCTTCTTCTCTTCTAACTACCGGCGTTGGGGAGTCTTGCTTTTCTTCTTCCTCTTCTTCTTTTTCTTGTTCTTTTCTTGCTCATTCTGGGTCTTCTCTCTTGAAGCAATATTCTGCTTCTAGATCGTCGTACATTCGCTTCTTCGAGTTCACGATCCAGTGCATCCACACGACGGTCACGCATCTCAGCGAACGCGATCAGCGACTACCTGCAGACAGACCTTACACTAACGGCTATTTCCTTGATCTTGTCGCCCAGATTCGCCAGTATGCAGCTATGATCTCCGAAGCGCGTGAAAGAACCCGTGCCAATCGTGCCGCCTCGGAGAAAGCTGAGAAAGCTGAAAAGGCCGAGAAAGCTGACCAAGCTGACCAAGCTGAGAAAGCTGACAAGGTTGAAATCCCAGAGAAAGCAGACCCTCCAGCTCCCGTGGAAAAGGAGTTCATCACCCTCGAGGGCGGTATGTCGGAGACTGGACGCCCCGCGGAACTGGTCGTCCACAAGGACGGCCAGGCCATTTCCCTGCGCACTGGACAACCCTACGACCCCACCGCCATTCCCGCCTTCAAGCGGACCTTGAGCGCAGAACCTTTCGATGAAGGCGTCGAGCGTTCCATGGCCCGTCGCAAGAAGAATGCCCCTCCCATGGATATCAACCAGAAGTGCAAGGACTGCGACAAAGTCTTCAAGCGGCCTTGCGATCTCACGTACGTTGTTCCCCCCCCCCCCCCCCTTCCTCCACAAGTATGGGGGAAAAAAAAAATTAGGCTAATGAACCACACTGCAGTAAACATGAGAAAACCCACTCACGCCCCTGGAAGTGCTCCGAGCCGGGATGCAAGTATTATGACATCGGCTGGCCGACCGAAAAGGAGCGAGACCGCCACATCAATGACAAGCACTCCAAGGCTCCAGCTCTGTACCGCTGCAGCTTCGCGCCGTGCACGTACCAGTCCAAGAGAGAGAGTAATTGCAAGCAGCACATGGAGAAGGCTCATGGATGGGTCTACGTTCGCTCCAAGAACAACGGCAAGCCGGGCAGCACCAGTGGTAGCAGCGGCCGCAGACCCTCCTTGTCGATGCAGCCGACCCCTACTCCCAGCGTTGCCACCCCACTCTCCAATTCGGTGGGCCTGTCAACGCCCATCACTGGACCTAGCCCGTCGCCCTTCGAGGCTCCATTAGGCTATCCGGAGAACCCCCCTTTCTCATTTGCGGATCCTCCGACCCAGACCTCGTCCAGCAGTGCGGACTTCCAACTGTTCCCGGACAATCCTAGCCCCTTTAACCCGGTCCCTGACCTGAACTCCTTCCCCTCGTCGCTGGACTTTGAGACATTCCAGAACTCCCTCGAGGCGGGGGATCCCAACGGACTGGTCCCTTCCTCGGACATCCACCGGGCCTCGTTCGACTCCTCCCTGGCGGACCTGGCCCCGCCGCTGATGTTTAACAGCCACTCGCCGCTCTCGTCCACTGACAACAACAGCATGAACTTTGACTTTGATTGGAGTCATCTGGAGAACCAGAACTTCGACGAGGAGTTCTCGGCCATGAACATGCATCTCCTCACCCCGCCCTCGGTGGACCCCAAGGGGATGAACGGCTACACGTATGACACCTCTGCACCCCGCGCCCTCGCGTATGACCAGGTCAAGGTGCACAGCCTGTCCCCCGGGGGCCAGGGCAACCTGATGCTTTATTCGCCCAACTCCAACAAGGCGGAGGACGGGTTGGAGATGTACGAGCAGGCGGCTTATCAGGACCCCAAGGCGGGCACCGACTTTACGCTGTACTCTACTTTTCCCCCTGCCGCCCTCGGGGGTATGAACTTGCCCAACATGGGCACTCTTGGCGGGCTGAGCCACCAAAACGCCATGTTTCCATCCCTGCAGGCGCAACAAGAGCAGGCTCTTTACATGAATCAGCACTGGTCGGGTCAGCAGGGCCTCCCCGACCCGTCGAACATGACTCCTGAAGCAGACATGGACTTTATGGGTTAAAAAGATACATACTCTCTTTTTTTTTGTTTTCAACCACGCCTTCACCACCTTCACCACCATCATCATCATCATTATCATCATCATCATCATCATCATCATCATCATCATCATATCATGGTCATTATCATCATCATCAATGCATGGCCGCCCACCATACATCATGGCTGACTGCTGACCCCCCTCGACACTCTTGTCGATGGCTTGCTATCATATTCATACTCTTCATATTTCTTACGGATAACGAATGGGTTGCTTTGAATTTTTTTGCTTTTTTTGTTTTTTTGTTTTTTTTTTTTTTTTCTTCTCAGAATAGTTCTTCCTCCCCTTTCTTTTTTCTTCTTCTCTCCGAACAATTTCTTAGCGGGTACTGGGTACTGGGAATATTCTTGGCTTGTGAATTATCATTATTAACTATTTATGTGAACACAAAAACACATCCCTATTCTTATTGCTGATCTGGCTTGGTGTATATCTGGAGTAATAAATAGATTTATTTGTCTTGGCCATGTCGATCTGCCGATCCACTCGGCCAAGGAGGGGGGGGGGGATGTGAGGATAGACCAAATGTCAGAGCATCACCACACTGATGTTTACCAATCAATAAATGACCGTCCTGTAACCTACGGAGCATACCACTAATAGGACCGCTCTTTATAGCTCTTGTCGGTCTTTTCTTGACTAATTTGTCAGGGATTGTCACGTAGTGGCGGTAACGGGAGTAACTACATGAGAGTAATTTTTCAGCCTAGAGAAGCCAACCATTTATCATTGACAGGAGAATCTCCTGTTAACGTTAACTACTGGTATATCTCGATCTCATATTGACAGATTTCCCAGTGACATACATTTATTTGGTGGAGCCTCGACGTCATCCACCAAAGCCACTGGTCAATTAGTAGTCTCGAACTTCCCAAAATCCCACCTCTGGCAGACACTTACAGGCGATAAATAATCTCCAGACAGAACCAGGCAGACGAATTCCCCCCTCCCCCCCTCCACACGGTTCTGTACGGGTTCCTGCCTGTGTTCTGTTCTGGTCTGGGTTCCTGAGTTAACCCGATCTTTCGTTCCTGTCTATCTCTTTTCCCTCCCCTCCCCTCCCCTCCATTCTTATCCAGACGATGCAGAGCAACCCCTCACAACATGAGGGTGTCGTCACCACCGCCCCACCAGGACACAAGGCAGCACCGCCGTCAGGACAGATTCTCACAGGGAAGCAAGAGCATTGTACGAGATTCTCTTTTTTGGGTTTGGGTTTACTAGATGTATTTCTAGGGTGTTCCTTCTGATGTGTTGACTGTGGCAGACCTCAAACGCGAGCTGATCAGCCGCCAAGTCACCAGCGAGATCACCGAGCTCAGCTCCCCCACGGCCCTGCACCGGTTTGGGGCTCCCTTCAAGTCAGAGTTCGGCGAGGTGGCTCCCATCGATTCAGATCTGCCGATTCTACGCTATATTTTCGTGCATCATGTGCGACAGTTTCCCTTTCTCGACCAGGCGAGGGAGAAGGAGTTTTGGCAGGATAAATTGCAGGTGGTGAGTTTCAATCTGATCTTCAAAGAAAGCTCTAGAGTGCTGATATAAGGGTAGTTCCTCGAGTCTTTTGCCAATAAGCACGTCTCCTCGTCTGAAGACCGTCTCGAAGAAACTAAGCGGAGGAAGTTGGCGCGGAAATGTGAGAAACTCGTCGAGCTGATGATGGTCTCGGGCATCCCGACCGCCTCGGGCTACGAGGAGCGCATCCAGTTCGCCGAGATGGAGGTTGTCGACCGCGGGGCTAACGAGAAGGGCCTGCTGGTTAATATGCCCGAGGGAAATGCCATCCATGGCTGGGATGTCAATGTCGCGGCTGTGCGTACCACCTCGGTTAAGCGGACGGTCCGCTATCACCAACATGCAGTAGGTTCTCTCTCTCTCTCTATTCAATTCCTCGTTTGGAAAAAAGTTACATCGCAGGAGAAGCTTACAAACTAGGAATTCATCATCCGTGTACGGCGGGAAGGCCAGTCGGATATCTACGTCGGTAGACGGTACGGCGAGTTCGCCAAGTTGCATAAGCGGTTACGCACCGAGTTCCCCGGCAAAATCCTCCCCCCGCTGCCGAGGAAGAACAAGTCGTCGACGACTTCGGCCCTGTTTGGCTTTGCCGACGATGAAGACGATGTGTCGGTGTCGTCTGTCTCGACGCAGGGCGACTCGTATGTCACCCGCACCTTGGCCCCCGGGAAACACCATCAGCACCACCGGTCGCTGTCGCGCTCGTCTATCGGGCGGATCACCTCCCGGTCGCCCCGGGCATCGGGCGAGATGCCGCGAGACACGGTGCTGTATCGCGAGGAGCAGCGCGTTTCCCTGCGGGCCTTCTTACGCACGCTGCTTCAGAACAAACGCCTGGCCGAGTCCAAGTCTATGGCTGAGTTCCTAACCGCCAGACCCGTCACACTCAACGAGGAGGAGAAGGTCGACGTGCAGCGTCGTAAGGATATGGATGCCATTCGCATCGAAGAGCAGAAACGCTTCTACGAGATTGCCAGGCAGCGGGCCGCTGAGCTGGATGTCTACATGGAGCAGTTCCGCCGCGAGATCGTCGAAAGCAGTACGTCTACTATTACTTTGCTATTCTTTTTTTCCAACTCATGCTCACTCTTCTCACTCTTCTCACTATAGATGGTCTTACAAAGTTGTTCGCGGAGATCCGCGAGAAGCACACCATCCAAGATCTGAGTCCGCAGTACCAAAAGTTTGCCGAATGGCTGCGCATCGAGTATGTGTTGAGGAGTCCCCTATCTCATTATCCATGCTGACAGTAAAGGGTCGCTGCTACCATCTACCATCTGTTCCTTGCAGAAGATAACTCGCCCGAGCTCTTTGCTCAGGCCAAGCGGATCCACTCGCTGGTGCCGTACACGCTGTTGAAGAACGTGATTCGGGTTGCGAATCCGGCTGCCGTCATGTCCGGGGTGCTGGATCTTTTCCTGGCGCAACCCTTTGGCTCGCGGTCCCTTCTGCAGCGCATCTTCTCCATGACGCTGAACGATGGCATCCGGGCGTTCCAAAAGTCCATCGACTCCGTGGCCGCCAAGGTGGAAGACCCCGTGCTCACGGGGAAGCTCAAGGCATTCACGGATGCCGACGAGGAGGTCAAGAACGCGATCCGGGCGGAATCCGTTGCCGAAGATGTAGACCTCATCGTGGCTATTCTGCGGTCGGAGCTACTGACGCCGGAGCTGACGCCCGAGCAGATCGGCAAGGTGTTCAACTCGTGGGTGGCGTGGAACAACGCGGTGGAAAACGTGGACCTGGAGATGAAGCAGGGGGCGCAGTGGTTTGCGCACATGAAGCAGCTGCTGAAGCTGTACACGCGGCAGCGGGACAAGGCGATGATGCTGAGCATCGTCGAGGAGCCCGTCACGCTGCAGCTGTTCCGCGACCTGTTCACCATCTTCTACGAACCCCTGGTGCGCGTGTACAAGTCTGCCAACGTGTACAGCAGCATCACGGACTTTGCGCAGTTTGCCGACGATGCGATCGGCGTCGTCGAGCGCGCCCAGCGCCAGGACGTCTCGGCCGACCCCAACCAGACCGTGCAGGCGTTCATCGACCTGTGCGCGCGCCACGAGCATAACTTCTACAAGTTCGTCCACGAGGTCCATCTGCATGACAACGGCCTGTTCGGCTCGCTCATGTCCTGGCTCGAGGATATCCTCGAGTTCCTGCGCAAGGGTCCCCAGGGCGGCAAGCTGGACATGAACGCTCTGTTCCAGGGCGCCGCTGCCGCAGGCCAGATCGATAAAGAGGCTGCCCTCGCGGAGATCAACGCCCTGATCAAGTGGCAGGAGGACCGGAAACGGTGGCATCTCAACAAGACCCGCCAGAAGATGGCCGCCGAGGGCACCGGTACCGAGAGCGTCCCGGGCAGTGCGACTTTCAAGGGCAGTGATTTTGGCCTAGACGAGGTACAACTTTTTTCTTCTTTTTCATTACTAATATTACTTTTCACGCTTTGCTAACAAAACAGGCCGACCTGGAAGACCTTGCCATCTCGGACGAGGAATCCGATGCTGAAGATGAAGACGAGGAAGACGACGATTTGGACCCAATCGCTGCCGAACGTCGCCGACGCAGCAAGCGGCAGGACCAGCTGCGCCGCACAGCCGGTGAACCTGTGAAGCCGGAGGTGAAGGAGGTGATTAAGCTGGGCGACTCATTTGGGGTCATGCTGCGGCTTGTTCTGGCGGAGTAGAGCGCAGTGTAGAACTTTGACTACCTAGTAATATTCATTAATAGACAACTGCGGTATTCTTACTACGGAGTACACAGTAGGTAGAATTCATGCACTCACGAGTGTACGTACTACTCCGTACTCCGTACTCCGTATCATGAGGCTGAATCTTATCAAACTGGCTCTTATCAGAACTTGGCGATCGCCCCCCGCCACCAGTTTCCATAGCGACGAGATGAGATGAAGTTACCAGGCTTTTCATACCTCTTCTCATCCCCCTCTCATCACCAAACCCGCCAAGATGATGACTCCAAGCAGAACCGGCCGTGAAGCGGCCCTCGGATCTCCCCAGAAAGCTGTTCCCTTGCGCGGTCGCTTTATTAATGGCATCTGGTGCTGTAATTGTCCCAACCGGCCTCCGGCAGCTGAGTACCAGACCAAGAACCACGGGACGAACCATGGAAAATGGTGTATGATCAGTCATATCTCTGTGTGTCTGGGAAATGAAAACTCACGTTTTTGTAGTTTATACCTGCCAGCAACCGACAGGGAGACGATGTGAGTTCTTCCTGTGGAAGAGCGACGCAGAGGCGCGGGAGAAGCTGGTGTTGCTGTCCAACTCGCGCTCGGAGGAGCACATGACCACCCCCCGAAGAACTCCTCGAGGGTCAACTGCAACCGGTTTACTCACGCCCACCACCGATCGGCGAGTCTTGCACGGCTCGACAACGCCCTCGAAGAGTGTGAAGAGTGCGACGAGTGCAAGGGAAACGATGATGCTGGAAGATACGGATCCGGCGTGGTGGGAGGACAGCACCGACGACGACGTTAGGAGCCGTCCGCTCCAGCAGCCAGAGTTCCGCAGCGAGTCGTCTCGAAAGGCTCCTCGAACGGCCAGTTTGACTTCTCCTGGGAAACGCAAAGCGTCGGAAATGACATCGAATTCCACGCCTAAAACTCCTTCGCTCTTTACGCCCAAGACTTCGACGCTGTTTTCACCTCGCACGGCGGACAGCAGTTCACGTTACGCCCCTCCTCCGTCGGCAGAAGTGTCGCTGACGCCCACACCGACCAAGTACAGAGACGTGCTCTCGACGGAGTCCTATTCGGAAAGCTCCGACCTTTCTCGCTCGACGCTCTCCCTACTAGACAAGCATAGTGTTGTGCTGCCAAAGGCAGCGCAGGACGAGATGCTCGCGCTACTGAATAAACACGACCTGCGGACGAGGGGGATTTCGCGGGGGCGAGACATCTCCCGTGTGGCGCTGAAGAAGAAAGACGAGGAAATCAAGGTGCTGAATGAGAAGATCGAGGATCTGAAAACACAACTGGACATGAGTAGGACGGTCCTGGATGGGATGAGGATGGCCTATAATACAAGACCGCGATGATGCAATCCTCCAGTACACGATTCTCTGTTTGTTTCGAGAGATACCCGCCAATTCAAGCTTGATTGATGTTCTTTCGCGTTTGTTGCCTCGTTGATTTCGTTGATTACTAGTAGCCTCGACCTATTTCTGCTTGTCCACTCTAATGTTGTACACGTACAATTCTATTCACTGATAATATATCAAGAGATTGTCATACTATATATTTGTTTTATACAGTAGTATACTTGATAATATATGATGGTTATCGCTATCTTATCGTCATCACGTGCCGCTGCAAATTATTTCATTTATCGCAAATCGAAACATCAAGTCCAAAAACCAGCCCACCATCACCAGGAAAGCAAACGGTACGGAGTCAGCGAATCTGAAAGGATATACGCTGGAGGCCTTCTGAATAAGAGGCACATCAACCTCTCCTCCAAGCCCGCTTCCGCGAATACAACCACCCGCCGAGCTACATGGACCCTACGCTTGACTCACCGAAGCAGGTCGTGAGGGAACTCCCTGAGATGTTTCGGCCGCCGGTGAACCGCGCAATGCGCGTCCTCGACCGTTCGGCCTTCCGCAAGGCGATTCCTCTTGCGGCTGCGACTGTGTTCAAGACGTCGGACATCTCGAGGGTGCGCAAGGAGCTGATGCGAGGCAGGGATGCTCTAATCATCCCCCGGCTCAATAACATCCAGGAGATCAAGGAGAAGGAGGATGGGGGCGGCGAGATTCTGAGAAAGTGTGTTCTTCTTCGGGAAGATATTAAACATGATGGTAATGTCTGAGATCTGTCTCGTTTGAGAGTTGCCTTCTTGTTAATACGATGTTGAAGACTCCACTACGTGGTCGCCGAACGTCAGCGAGTTGGTGGAAAAGGGGACAGTCAGCATGAGGCCGTACACTCTGGAGTTGGATTATAATTATTGGACTTATTGTGAGTTTTTGATTATCTGTGCCGTGTCTTCCTATTCTTCTTGTCGGTGACTCATTCTTTCTTTTAGCGGAAATTATCCATTCCATCATTCCCGAAGAGCTTCTGTCAGACGTCCCTGCGGGTTATGCGCAGGTCGGACATGTGGGTATGTTTCTACGCTTTGTATACGATGGATTGATCATGGGTTGATCTGACGTTATCAGCGCATCTGAATCTTCGCGAACAATATCTTCCCTTTAGGTTTCTGATTGCGGAGATCCTCAACGACAAGGTTCCCACTGTGCGAACGGTCATCAATAAGACGCAGGATGTGGGATCCCACAGCGAGTTCCGGACCTTTCCCTTTGAATTCCTTGCCGGCGACAAGGACATGAACGTGGTGCAACATGAGCAAAACTGCGAGTTCCGGTTCGATTACTCGCGCGTCTACTGGAACACCCGCCTGGACACGGAGCACCGCCGTCTGGTCGACAAGTTCCAGGCGGGCCAAATGGTCGGCGACGTCATGGCCGGCGTCGGTCCCTTCGCCATGCCGGCGGGGAAGAAGAAGATCTTCGTCTGGGCCAACGATCTCAACCCGCACGGATACGAGGTGATGGTAGACGCAGCCGAGCGGAACAAAGTCAGCGACTTTGTCACCCCTTTCAACCGTGACGGAAGGGAGTTTATTCGTTCGTCTGCCAAGGAGCTGCTCGAGGCCGACCAAGTCACCGTGGAGATCAAGCCCAAGTTCCGACAGCGGAAGAAGGTCAAGACGGGCGAGGACACCTCGGCGCCCGTCTCGGTGCCTGAAAACCTCCCGCCCGCGGAGACGTATGTGAGGCCGAGGATCTTCGATCACTACGTGATGAACCTGCCGGCCACGGCCATCGAGTTCCTCGATGCCTTCATCGGCGTCTACGCTGGCAAGGAAGACCTGTTTGCGCCTCACACATCCCAGCTCTTGCCCATGGTCCACGTTTACTGCTTTTCCGGCCACTCCGCGGACGAGATGGACGACCACATTGACGTCTGCCAGCGGATCTCCGAGCGCATCGGCTACACAATCACCCCGGAGGACAAGGTCGGGGGGAGCGGGAACGCGGAGATCGAGCTCGACCTTTTCAACGTCAGGCTCGTCAGCCCGAATAAACAGATGTTCTGTGCAAGCTTCCGCTTGCCCAAGGAGGTGGCCTTCAAGAAGCCGTGAGGTCGTTGTCAACCATCGCATTCCCGGTCGCATTCCCGGTGTTAGGACGTTGCATCTACAGGTCTAGATTCAACTGAGAGTATATAGTAGCATATAATCTCCGTCTCAGTATTATCAAGAGAATCTAGATTGTAGCAAAAGAAAAAGATAGACAGGGTAGTTGAGTTGCTGTAGTGTTCAAGAAAGCGGTGAAGTGCTTACCGCCTCCCATCTGCGACTCTTGAGTTTTCCCCCTCACGGGAACTTCATTGAAGCTCCAGCTCCAGGTCTCGGTTAGCAAATTCTCAGACTGCAGTTATTCAAACTTGATAAAGGAAGTTGCTCGGCTCACCTCAAAGCAAATATGAACGTCCAGCTCCCACCCCCCACCCATCGCAAGCGCGTTCTTCCCCAAGGCGAGCTCGAGGCAGCGTCTACCCTCAAGCTGGGCGCGGATCAGAACACGCACACCCTCTCGCTGTCTGAGGCGCGGCTGGTTATCAACAAGGTGCTGGAGAATAAGCGTCGTGGGGGCAAGAAATATGAGGAGCCGGAGTAGGTGGTGCTGCGATGGGATGCCCTCAATACAGCTTGCTGACCCTGTTCTTTTCTTAGAAATCTTACCAAAACCCTGGATTACCTTGAAGTCTTTGCTCGGTTCAAGGATGAGGAGAACATCAAGGCTGTGGAGCGTCTGCTGAATTCGCATACGGAACTGGAGATGTTCGAGCGCTCGCAGCTGGGTGAGAATACCCTGAAATACACGTTCTTTTTCTAGGTACTGAGCTAACGGCATTGGTTGTTGGGTAGGGAGCCTGTGCTGCGACAACGCCGAGGAAGCAAAGTCGCTGATTCCGAGTCTGCAGAACAAAATCTCCGACGGGGATCTGCAGGAGCTGCTGGACGAGTTGACCAAGTTGCGCAATTTCACGGAGTGATGGTTTCTCCTTTCTTTTTTAGAAGTTATATCGATTGGTACGCTGGGTCAGTAGCGTGGAGTTATGGTGTTTCAGTTGATTCCCTTGGATTGGTGTATATCGAGGTGAGATTATGTGTGCAATGTAAAACCACAGAGGTAATGCCTCGTTGGACATTGGATCAACGCAATGTTGCATATGCAGTATGATCACTAATCTTGAAACCTACATGACTAACTAGGCAGATCGTTGCCTTTATTTAATTGTATATACGGAGTAGCCACTCACAGCAGTCGGGGTAATATGTAGTATGGCAAAGCGGTCAGATTAATAATTCCCCCGGGGAATCATCTCTTACGTCTTCCACCACGCAGACTTGAGCACCATGGAATATATAAAGGGCTTGTTTCATGCTACAGAAATGAGCAGACAATTGCAACCAGAGTCTATCATATTCATCTAGGTTATCTATCATGGCGTTTACTCCCATCCAAGCTCCGTCCTCGCAGAAGCCAGCCTTGGGTTCCAGGGACGTGGCAATACACAATGTGAATAATACTTTTGAATCCTTGAAATCGTATCTCAACAAACAGTATGACTAACTTGTTATCTATGCTAGATGATTAGAGATCAGTTCACCGTCTCTACCTGGCTCTTGCTCGGCGCGGGACTCCAGGGCTTGCTGGCTTTGATTCTCCCCGCCCGATATGCCCTCCTACCTGCCGTCACCATTCTCGCGTTACGCTCCATCGATACCTTGCTACAGACGTGTGGAATCACCAAGGATCGCGCAGCAGAGGGGGTGATCAGAGGTAAATTCAGTGCGCAAATCCCTGACCGGGAGGGAAACATCCCTTTAGAACCCGCGGAGCAGGAAATCGTGCTCCTTCATCTGGCGACGCGGTCGAATCAGTAGGTTTCTCAACTCAAGTGGTTTTCTATTTTCTCTCTGTACTGACTGGAATAGTCCGCTGGGTATGATGGCGCCTGGCTACAAAGAAGTGATAGATTACATGGGCAAATTGCTGGCTGATCTCGACCGCAACTCACACGAGAATGGCTGTACGTTATATGTTCCCCTTAAGCAACTAACTAGGTAGATCCATAGATTAACATGCTAGATCTCGGTTCTACCGGCTGGATCCCCTTCACGGAACGCAAGACTTCGAATCAGATCATGGCTGCTGTATACTTTCGGTCGTACAAGGATCTGCATGACTTTGCACACGGCGCAATGCACCTCGAGACCTGGACGTGGTTCACCTCCATCTCACGGCGGTACCCGCATCTCAGTATCATGCATGAGACATATGTTGCGCCCAAGGGACACCACGAGAATATCTATGTGAACAACCACCGGACAGGACTGGGTGCGTCCTGCTTTCACCCCCCCCCTTCTATGGTATTAATACTCCGTACTCTGTGCTGACTACTGTAGCTGCGACAAGTGTAAAGGTTCCTATTAAACCTATCCATCCAGGGACAAATGGGACTGAACAGGGCCTGTTCCGATGGATCAGTCCTGTCGTCGATGCGGGTCGAGGCGTATTGAAATCATCCCGGGGCAGATTGGGGGCCGCCGATGGAAGTGACAACGAGGCGTACAAAATGAAGGATTATTAAGAATCACAATGTTTCTACAATGAGGCGTACATATTGAAGGATTATTGTATAAAAGATTTATCATTTATGAATAAGTGAATAATACTACATAGCTTATACTACTATGCAATACTCCGTATCATTCGCCTCGTATACTAAAATTACACCCAGGGTCAGAACGAGATATGACGTCATCTCATCACTCAATCGGGTAAGCCTGATGCTGCTCAGCCCTACTGTGGCTGTGATCCCTAATCAGGTAAAGCGCCGCCTGTCTCTATTTGGGTGTGGAGCACAGCCCCAGGCACATGCCAAGCCATCAGGACGCGTGCTCAGCATGGCGAAGTCAGCTGGTTCAGCTGGTTCAGCTGCCAGATGAAAGTGCAAAGATATTTAAGCAGGGTCTCGTCTTCCTCTTCATTTCATCTTCATCATCATCTTCAGTGTTTCTTAGACTACTACTCCTACAACACTACACTACTACACTACTACTACACTACACTACACTACATTACACTACACACAATGTCCAACCGTGATTACTACGGCAGTGAAGCCTCCAACTACTCCGCTTCTGAAGCAAACTCCTATCAAGGACAACAATATCAGCAACAGACAGCAAACCCGAATGAAGCCAATGGCGAGCGTGGAGTCGGAGCAGCACTTCTCGGCGGCGCAGGAGTAAGTCATTATCACTCGAGTTAATAGAAAAGAACAGAAAAGAAGAAGAAGCTAACAAAGTCAGGGCGCAATGGCAGGCCATCACTTTGGCAAATCATCTGGACACAGCGGTTTAGGAACCGTGGCGGGTGCTGTTGGTGGTGCATTGCTGGCAAATATTGCAGAACATGCAATGCATAAGAAGGAGGGACACAATGGACCCCAGGGGCAATTTGGGCCTGGGCAACATGGACCTCAGGGGCAATTCGGACCTGGACAACATGGACCTCAGGGGCAGTTTGGACCTCAACACCATGGACCTCATGAGCAACATGGACACCATTTCCATCATCATGGACACCATGGACACCACTGACTTTGAGATTGTGGATCACTACATAAGGCGTATGGGTTTAGATTGACGTTGGAATAGAGATATCTGTTTTATTTTCTCTTGTCAAATAGTATATATTATTCACTGTCAATAAGGCATTCCTTATTCAATAGAGATACGCCTTCTAACACCTATTATTTATTAATTTGCTTTGTAGATGTGGACTACATGGTTTAGGTATAGCTGTGGTGTTTACAAAATTTGCATCTTTACCGCCTAGAAGGATTCCCGGAACCCGCCTTGACCAACTCTTCCACTGTCATCTTCTGTCTCTCAAACTCATCGGCAAGAATCACTAGAGCCAAGATGGCTCAATGTGCAGTGTGTAGCAAGTCGGACAGTGTACTCTTGAGATGTTCACGCTGCTCTTCCCGGCTTTACTGTGGTACGTTGGCTAGCACCCAGAACTGGCTGATTATTCGAATGGACTGACAATCTGGCACAGGCTCTGAATGTCAGAAGGAAGACTGGCCAACTCACAAGACTGAATGACAGCGGCAGAACTACATCCTGAAAGTCGATCTGCTGCCAAGATTCATCAGCAATCCACGCATTACCCGGACGCTATCATGCCCAGCTACCGCAACGTTCGCTACGTTACATGAGGCGTTGATTATTGCGTTCGGTTGGTCAAATACTCATCTATATGACTTTAAAGTCTACAACCACTCTGATGCGAGGGGACGTGAACATCGATTGGCCGGGCCTGAGAGCCTCCTCACAATCACAGACACTTCCCTCAATGGTGACATGATGATGGGGCCGACTCGGGACAGCTCCAAGGTCAAGCTGTTTCAGGTTTTGGACAATTCTACCACCAAGGGCAAAACAATTCATTACTTGTACGACTTGGGTGATGGTTGGGAACACGTAGTCACCTGTACCGGACGGTCAGACGCCACACAACACATCTCTTGTCTTGAAGGCGAAGGTCACGGCTGTGCAGAAGATGTCGGCGGGCCCCTTGGCTGGGAGGAATTACTAGAAGCCTACGATGCAGAGAGTCCGACTTCAGACCAGAAAGAACAGATAATATGGTACGAAACGTTTGCAAGCAATGGAGATCCCGAAGGGCTTCGTGGAGAATTGAAATGGAAATGGGACAAAGACGGGATCAACGAGCAGTTGAAAGAACTGACTCAATCGTCTGGAACTGGGTCCACGGCGCCAGGGTCTCTGCCTTCTATCCTTCTCGTCTCACTGTCGAAGCAGCCATTCTTCGACGAGATGTATTCCGCGCTACTCACTAATCTCCGATCAAAGGCTACCGTCACCGAGGTGACGGAAAAGAACACTGCAATGGAGAAACTGTCGGCTGCACAGGGGCAATACGCTGCGATCATTGTTACCGACAGCGGGGTCATCAAGAAGAAGTTCAACGCCATCCAGAAGAAACTGGTGGAATATGCCCAGGCAGGCGGGACGGTCATCATTGGGCTCCACTACTGCAGTTTTACTCGGCCTTCCGATTCCAATCTCTTTTTCCAGAAGACATGGGGCGTCAATTGGAAGTTCGGAAACTACGGACGCTATGACTTTCGTCTGAACCCTCGAGCGAACTCGGCATTCATGGCTCGTTGCCGGCCAGGGCTACCTCAGCAATATAGCATGAAGGCAGTCCATATGCAAAATGCTAGACCGGAGGACCAGATCTATATCTACCTACCTACTAGCACCGAAAGCCCAGCCATCTTCGCCAAGTACGGAAACGGCTTTCTCGGCTGGATCGGTGATGTCAATACTGAAAGCGAGACCACGGAGCTGCTGTTGAGGATGTGTGGTGTTTAATATGAACGCTGTGAAAAATGTCTTCTAGTCCACATTAGGAGTGAATCATACGAGGGTTTGATTTCGGTCAGTTTGATCTTATCAAGACCATAGTGCTCCATCGAGTCTAGACTCATGCTCTCTTCCTCTTTACATAAAAGTAATTGGCCAAGGCTTACCATATTCTATGCTTAAGATCTATAGCTAGGTAGCTTATAAAACCATGGAGATGATTTGTTCGCTTGCTGTATACATGAGTCACAAAAAACCAACCACAATAGTCATAGTCTCTTCTACCGATTCAATAGTCGACCAATTATTGACTCATTAAGTAATAGGGATCAGGATACGGATTTACGGAGGACGGAGGACGGGAGGATGTCTGCAAGAAATAGTAGTAAAGTGCTATAAGAGCCAATCACAAGCCCAGTTTCCTCTCTAGGCAAAGCTTCGGCCCCGATTCCAAAGGTTCCATTTGACCCCAGAAATCATTCTTCAATTTGAACCCGAAGCCCTGGATCCTCTGGAGTCCGTGTTAATAATAACTTCGCCGTAGTACCTTGGGTAAAGTGCCTTAATAATGAGGCCGCGCCGGAGTTGCTCCAAGCCTCCGCAGGGACCACCAGCAGCGGCCGAATCAACAACGTGTGCAGTTCCCTGGCCAATCAGCAGCCGAGTAATTCGATTGACTTTGGGGGGGAAAATGGAAGGCCCGCTGCAGAGCCGATCAATGTATGCGCTAGTCAGTTTCGGGAGGCTGATCTGGCTGCTGATTGGGTGGTGCGATGAGCTTATCATAGGCTTGTGATTGGACAGGAGGAGGGCAGAGCACGTGAAGAGCACGTGAACTCATGGGTGCCTGGGAGCCTTAGAAGGACTCTTTTCCCAGACCGCCAGAGTCCTCTCCTTTTTTTTCTCTCTCTCTCTCCGTACTACATACACCTTCCAACTCCGTGCAGGTGCAGGGGGGGGCGGCCTACGACGCAAGGCTTCACGTCAACAGCTACTAGTCCTAGCTAGATCAGTTAGTGAGGACTATTTAATTTAGGAGTCACTAGTGAGTCTCTTCAAATGACGTTGGAGCTTGGCAGTGCTGACATAAAGAGTCGCCGCCCGAGTTCCCAGTACGTAATGTTGAAGCGCGCATCCATGCATTCGGCTGAGCAGAAATCGGGGATCCAATCAGGAAGAAAAGGCTTATCTTCGGTACTCCAGACTGTGCTTCGAGTGAAGTGCGGGTGAATGCTGGGTCAGGGCAACAGTTGGCCCGGAGCAGAGCGCGGCGAGAATCTGTTACGTGTGGGAAATCAGCATCGCAGTCGCGGGCAGACGGGGACGGGTCCCTTGTTCGCGGAGGAGTTTCTGTTATCCAATATTAACGTCCTCGCCTTCCGGAGGAATACCTAGTGCTGGGGACCGGGAAACAGCGTGCGTCAGGAACAGAAAAATAGGGAAACGAGAGAGAGTCGTCGAATAATAATGTCGTCGTTGTCGTCGTCATTTTAACCTCGACTCTCCTCCTCCTCCTCCTCCTCCTCCTCCTCCTCCCTCTTTCCACCCCTTCCCCCGTTCATTGCTCCGGGCTGATGTGAGAAATCGAACCAACAAAAGGACCAGAGTTTGCGACAGGGTTAAGAAAGGGAAGAAAAAAAAAGCAACACGCTCCTCAGGCGAGTGTCGCGTGTCGAGAAGACAAAAACTCAGACTGTCCACTGCTGGTGATCAAGTAGTCGATAGACTTGAAATACTTTGCTGAGGGTTGTCCGCCGGCTGGACCTATCGCTACTTGTTTGTTATTATTATTATTACTATCATTGCTTCTATCAACCTTCCTTTTTCTCTTGGGTGTTTCCATCATCAAACCGCTCCGAGCCCGCTTGCTGATTAGACGCTGCACCCACCTGCCGAGAGATATCAGCAAAACCACTGCAGAAATCCTTGATCCGTTTCTTTTTCTTTCGTTATTTTTACCCCCCCCCCCCCCCCCGGCTTTCTTCCTGGCTGATAAGCATCTTCGCTGCGTATCGCTGGGCGCCGAGGACATAACCTGGTCGAAATCAAACGGTCCCCCGTCATTGGCTAAGCCACCCAGTCCCTCTATCAGATCGTCTCTCCCCCTACTCTTGGGAAACCTGAAAGAGGCCACCCCCAGTATTCGGAATTTGCGGCAGGGCCAGAGAGCCCATGATTATTTCCCCATAGAGCCCGACGCCGCTGTCTCGTCGGATCTCCGCGCCAATCGAGCCGCAAGATTTCGGTAGTTGAGGCTGTCTTACGTGACAGAAACCGCACCTGCTCTATCTCTTATCCTATCGTGCTGAGAATAGTTGATACTGTTCCCTATCTCTCTCTCCCTTCCCCCCCCCCCCCCCCCCCCCCCCCCCCCCTCCCCCACCGCTCCATCCCCCCAGAGATAATGGCCACTGTTATCACCATCCAGCCATCCACGGCTGGTCCGGCTCCGGTAACTTCTTTTCAGCAAAGCCACTCTTCCCTAAGTTCTGACATCCATCTTTCCCGGCACCTTGCCCAGCAAATGGGCTCGACTTCCACCTCCCCTTCAGCAGACTCCATCATTAGTACCAGTACTCTTCTCTCTCGCGGTCCCGGTCGGGATGGTACAAGCTGTGACGCTTGTCTCCGCAGGAAGAGTAGGTGTGCCATGAATGAAATGGTCAATAAGTGTTACTCGTGCGACTTTCATCGCCAGGAGTGTACCTTCACTCTTTCGGCTGGTGTAACCACCACCACCAGTACCTCTTCCACCCCTACCTCCACCGCCGACCTGCAGTCCAGAAAGCGAAAATTGGACGATGCCCTGTCCGAAGACACGGACTCCATCAAAAGGTGAAGACATCCCAATGGTCCCATGTCGTCGGTTGTTACCTCCCCCAGCTAATCGGCATTCTTTTTGTAGGCAATCAATAGTGGCACCAACAGGATCCAAGCTGGATATCTCACTCTCACGTGCACAATCTCAGTCCATGCTATCCGGATATATGTGCCAGTTGACGCAGCATATCGGGTTGACCACTGATCTCGAGCCCACACTGCTGGATTTTCTTCCCCTAGACCAGAACGACGAGGCTGTTGTGGCCACTGCAAAAGTACGCAAGTATTCAGACGACGGCACCTTCATGCGAATGATGCCGCCCGCGCCAATGGCCGTTCCATCTGTCTCCTCTCTGGATGCTGTTGAAAGCTTAGTGGCCCCTTATGGCTCTACTCTGGTTGAAAAATACTTTACCCATGTCCACCCAACCTTCCCCATCCTGGTGGAAGATGCCTTCCGGCAGTCATACCGTGCCCGCAAGGGAATCACCCCTCTACTCCTGTCCTCCGTCTACGTGCTGGCATTGAAGTTCTTGGACGTGGGGTCCGGTACCCAAACCGTCCGACGACCAGACGTCGGCCGCCTGGAAAGCACCGCCTTGAAACTTCTGACTGAATCGTTGCCCCATTCAAACATGTCCACCATCCAGGCGGGCCTGCTGTTGATGCAGAATTCTTCTTTGAACACGGCTGCGCTGAACGCTCAGCTGGTCAGCGCCGGATTCGAACTCGGACTGCACCAGGACTGTTCCAATTGGCGAATGGAAACCTGGGAGAAGGGTCTCCGGAAACGCCTGGCGTGGGCGTTATATATGCAAGACAAGTGGTGCTCGCTGGTTCATGGCCGGCCGTCGCATATTTTTGCGTCCAACTGGACCGTGAAGGATCTCGTCGAACAGGATTTTTTGGATTCGGCGCAATCCGACTCGCATCAAGACGACTCGCCTGTTGGCCACGGCCCTCTTCTCTTCTGTCACATGGTAGCCCTGACCACCATTCTCTCCGACATCCTTGACCGATTCTATACGTTGCAGGCGATTGAGGATTTCCGAGCCGCGGGCAACAACTGCATCCGCATGATCCTCGATAAAGCCAAGCCAGCCCAGATCCGGTTAAAGGAGTGGTTCGCCATGCTCCCCGCGGAGCTAAAGATGGAACCGAGCTGTGAGCTGTTGGACACGACCACGGAGGAGAACTGGGGCAACGGCGCGCTGCACCTGGCTTATTTTGCCACGGAGATCACCCTGCACCGGTGCATTGTGCGTTCGCTCAACGCCGACACGGCCGACTCGTACCTCTCACACATCTGCCGCTCCGCCGCCAAGACACGGCTGATCTCGGCAATGGACTTCATCAACCGACTGCGGCCGGCGCACCTGCGGTCCTTCTGGCCTGCTGCCTCGCGCACCAACTTCGCGCTGATCGGCTCCTTTGGCATCCTGCTGCGCATCACCGCCCCGACCAAGGAGGAAGCCGAGTTCTATCGCCTGCGACTATGTGAGTACCGGTGGACCCTGAGCGTCAGCTGCAAGAACGCCGAGTTCCTCGCCTTTGCCCTCGAAAGCCTCGACAACGCAACCACCCTGGGCAAGCACGTCCCCGAGAAACCCGGCATCGACGAGCTCATGGCCAACTCCGCCAAATCGGCGACTCACCGTCTCTCCCGTGTGCCCAATTCGTCCATCCTTCTGGGCAGCGCTTCCACCATGGACGCTGAGCCTATGATGGACAGCGCGCGGGGGGGCACCTCGTCGGTCATCTCGGGGCTGGCATCTCCAGCGACATCAGCCAGCAGTGAGGAACTTGAGGATTCAATTCCTCCCCTCTAAAATAAAGACAAACCCAGTCACCTGAACAACCTCCTCCACTTCTTTTCTCCTTTCACACCGGATGTGTCGTGACGCCTTTTACCTTTCGGTTTCTTATTATTATTTTTTTCTTCTTTTTTCACAAGGACATGTGTCTTTGGCGCTGTTCTTGTTTTGAGATGACTGATTGCTGTATATACCATCAAGCGGGTCGGGTCACCTAGGGATGATAATTGTACATAAACGGGATAGATAGACTGATCATGAGATACGATATTACTTAAAAATTTTTTTTGGAAAAACAGGCAGATTATATATTATAAGATGACTAGAAGTAATGAAAATGACGCGATCTATGCTCATCACATCTGCTAATCACGAAAGAAAAGGTATCAAGTGATGTCGCAACGTACAGCTTAGAATCACAACATCTATTATTACAGCATATAGAGGGATGGCGCCATCAGCATATTTCATCAAAAGTAAAGCATATTAAGTAATTGATGTAACATGGTAAGCCTAGGTAGGTACTATGTAGGATGCTCATTCAGGCTGAATAAAACAACGAAAAGTCACCCGCGCCACCTCCCCCAAAGGCAAAGTCCTCCAGAACCCCCGGGTCAACCAGGTTGGCGAGGATCTCAGCGCGGGCGTTCCAGTCTGTATCGTTGTCGATTCCGTCCTGGCTGAAGAGGGTGGAGAAGAAATCCCCATTCCCGCCGGCGCTGTTGGGGAGGAGGGCGCTACCACTACCGCCGGTAGTAGTGGTGGTGGTTTCGATGGGTTGGCCTAGGGGTGTAGTAGTAGTAGGATGGCTATGAGTAGTATGCGAAGACCTTCCGTGGTGCCATCCTGGCTCTGTATGGCCTTGCACAGACCAGGGTTGTTGTGATGGCGCTAGAATCGAAGAAGAAGAAGAAGAAGAAGCACCGCCGCTAGGGAACGGGGGTGCTGTCGTCAACGCTTGACGGCGTGCGAGACACATCCGGGCAACCTCTAGGACTTCTTTGATCATCTCCCCGCAACGACGGACAACGAGCATGTCTCCCATTGACGAGAATATTTCTAGGCTCTTCTCCACATCCTGAAGGAGATCTTTGCATGAGATGCCCGGGAAATCGGACAGGACGAGGTGCAGAAGGATCATGCTGGCGTACAGGGCGTAGGTTGTATTATACCACCTGGATAATCATTCAAAAACTAATTAGGACCAGGGAATGTAAAGAGAAGGAATATTAACGACGAACCATGTTCGGATGTATATTCTATGCAGGAAAGATTCGTACTGCATCTGAATGCTGAAGCGCGAGGCATTCAGGCAGATCTGGAGATGGGGAAGGAGGTTGGGGGAATCAGAAGAATTGACTGTTGAGGCGACGAGGAACGGACGATGGATGAGAATGCGAGTGTTGTAGAATCCTATCAGATTAGCGAGAGATGTATTGGATTTTAGAAATTCACTTCAAAACACGCACTCAGTTTGAGGACCAGCCTTTGTTTGAAAGCCCACTCTGGATCGTTCAAAGCAGCCACATCAATGCTTAGAAAGCTCGGCAGACTCTCTTTCCAGTCGAGTAACTTCTTATCGAGATCCATTGCAATCCGTGACATTTCCGTCATTGACCGCTCAGTCGTCTCATGGTAGATGAGGTGAGAGGCTTCGGACATGATCTTGGCCAAGGCTACCATGACGGGAATCATACCAATTTCGTTGTCTTCTGCGTCAGGATCCGATCCATTCCCAGGGTCTGCCTATTATACAGCATCAGTGTTGTTTTTTTTGGGGGGGGGGGGGAACTGTCAGTAGTATTCTTCTTGCATACCTTTAATTTCGGAAGAGAAACGTGGTAGTGATTCAGCGCTTTCATGCTATCCAGTCGTCCAGAGGAACAGCACATTTCCCTGTACCAGTCAGGTTAGGTGAATTATGGAAATATCCTTATGGGGGAGGGAAATAGATCGTACACCTCATGAGAATAGATAGACCTGGGTTCGGATCAGTATAATCCCTAAAGAAAGGCCACGAGCGTCTTACCACCACGTCCGTTTACCTTCCTTCCGGATACAGGCAGATGGCGACGAAAAGCCCGACGCCAGCCCAATAGCAACAGCCGTCCTAACAGCCATACCGCTGTACATGAAGCAACTATGCGGTCGAAGGGCGTTTTGGCAATATACCGACAAGATGAGCAAAGCCTGTGCACTCTCCAGAGAGCAACTCTCGAAGATATCACCCAGAGTCTGCTTTGCCATCTCAAAGTAGAATTCTGCAAAGTCCAAGGCCGAGAATCCGCTTGCAGGCCCTGTTCTCGCCGTCGGATCCGGGGAGTACGTACAGTAATGGTCCAGCAGGGCTGTTTCGTTAGGGCTTGAGTTGATCGCGCCCATTGCAACGACAGCAAAATATAGACCGGTAAATTTCGAAGATCCATTTAAGAACCGGGCCCGCCCGGGTGCGTGCCATGCCTCGGCCTCGCAGCGGTGCATGAAACGGGGTTTGTCGAGCATGGGATGGACCCAGTGTTTGTTGGAGAAATAGCTACTAATGAACATCTTCTCAATTTCAAATTGAGATTCATCGGGTATACTGCGAACCAGCAACGCCATCTCTGGGCGTCTACCTATAGTCATGATTAGCTCTGTTGAGACGTGTCCACAAGCTGAATCGGCATACCATTTCGACATGCATGATCAGCTAGGCTCCCTGATTTGGAACGCCTCAGTTCTTTATCCTGCTGGGGAGCTGATTGTTGATCAACACTGGCTGCCTTCGTAGGAAAGTTCGGATTGTGCAACAGGTTGACTATCGAGAGCTGTTCCTTTTCCTGAGTCGGTCCCTCACGGTCGGAATCTTTGTCAAGAGCGAGGGAAAAGGGGGATTGGGCTAATGTTTGTCCGCCGTGTGAACCATTTGGTGGACTGTCCTGTGAAGAAGCCGTGCGAGCCTGATTGCGCGCTCGGGAATAAAGATTACCAAGGAAGGCCAAATTGGAGGAATTGCCGTAGAACTCGGTGCCATTGGTGTGAATGTTCACACCACTGAGCCCGACTCTAGAGGACGAGTCACCGATTTCCGAGGGTGCACCTACGATAATTCTTTAGTAGTGAGCTACGCCAGATGCGCTGAGTGAGATGATTGAAATACCGTCAACAGTCCGGGGAGTGCAGTCCTCTGTTGGACTTGTCGGAAGAGGCGCTGGCGCCAGCGGCAGATTCCATTGTCCAGTTGAACGTATCGCCGGCTGAATGGGAGATGGACTTGGAGCGTCCGCCTCCGATCTACCGAGGGTTTCCCCTGGGTCATATTGCCGACGTACTCTGGATGTCAGAGCTGCTCCCTCCGGCCAGGGAGACAAACGGGCCTGGTTTACCCTGTTGTGATGACCAGCTGTCAGTAAATTGGCAGAACAAGCACGTTTCTTGAAGGATATATATACGGGATGTCAATCTCTTTAGCCCCGGCATTTTTCTTGGTCGCTGACGAGATACTTTCGATGTCCGAGGTTTTGTACACACATTCTAGGGAATGGTCTACAATTCATGTCAGCGATTTTTATATCTGAATAGAACAGAAAACAGATGAGCTTCTGAACGGATCCAGCTTTCAAGACAACAACCACCTACAGGCACAATATGAGCATGGCCTTAATTGATCGCACTGGGGGAGCGAAAAAAACAAAAAAAAAAAACTCTGTATTAGCAAACTGCCCTCTCACTTGAAACCCATCTCGACCCAACCTCGCCGCCGAACCCTCCTTCACACAAACACACGACACTCACCTTCGTTTTCCGGGTGCGACACCAGTTGCATGCCTGTGAAGCACGCGGCAACCGTCGCCGTTTTGTCGCCCGCGGAGGCTCTCCGTCCATATCCGCGATATCGGAGTCGTAGTCCAGCAGCCTGCAAGGCGTCGAGGTTTGTCCAATATCACGCCAACATGGCTTCTAGTATGGACACCAGCACTGTAATCCTTTAAATACTTGATGGAGATGTCAACGGGCGTCGCGTCGAGACAGAATGATTCACGGTCATACACAAGAACGGGCGGAGTCCGGCTGTAATATGGGATATGTTTACATAAGCAGGTCAATTGTGCGGAGACCCCGTGATCTCCCGCTATCCCCCGAATAGGAAAGACGTAGGTACCGCCCGGGCTACTAGTCAAGGCAGTCCTATTTATAACACAAACACTCCAACCTCCTCTCGACTTGCAAGTTTCTACCATCTGCCAACTGCCAACTTCCTACCAAACAACTCCCACTGACTACAGAATGAGCTCATCGAGGCCAAGCTTCTTCTTACAGGTTTCCAGACTCTCGGTCTGCATCGTCTCGTACAGCCAAAATTCGTCCGTCACTGCGGTGCCCAGCAGCCGCTGGAATCCATCCAGGTCCGGATCGGCGTCCATGATCAGCCGTTTCGAGGTGGACGTGTTTCCGAGATTCGAGTTGAAGATGCCTCCGGCGGAGAGGGGGAGGAAGTCCTCGTACGTGATGGGCTCGTATTCGAGGACACCCTGACGCAAGAGGCTAGACACAAGAGCCGTTTTGGAGGGGGACATGGCCCAGCTCTCTGCTTTGTCGGTGAGACGGTAGCAGAAATACGCAAGTTGTTCTTGCCGGAGTTCTGCCAGCTCATCCGGGAAGTCGTGGAATTGCTCGGTTAGGATGGTTTCGTATACTTCGGCCGGGCCTTGGGTCAGCGAAGCTTTGCCTTGGTGCTGTAAAGCTTTGGAGTTGACCTTGGAGAGGATCTGGTCATACAGATGCCGGCCTTTGCGGGTCAGAGCATACCCACGCTGCTCGACCTCGCCGAAACGAGCGGTGTGCGAGCCCTTGATGAAGATATCCGACGATCCGTCTCGAAAGTATACAGTCTCTTCGAGAGCTTTGAAGCTGGTCTGACGGAGCAGGATCGGACACTTGCGCCGAGGGGGGCCCTCGATGCGTTCTTTTGCAGGCATGTTCCGGTCGAGCATCAGTTGTTGTACCAGATCGATGTCAATGGTCCGCGGCGTGAGGTGGTTGATGTGGGAGTTGGGGAATGAGACAATATCGGCGATGAGCGGATGCTCTGCCTTGAGCATCTGATACTCTTCGAGACTGACAGTGGCTTTCGAGTGCCACCGGAAGGTTTCAAGGCCTTCGTTGATGAACTCGGCGTATTCTTGCGGGGTCAGGGTTCCGGCGGTCTCTGCACGGTCGATCAGCTCAATGAGTCGGTCGGTGAAGATGTTTCGTTGCTGTAAAGCCTGCTGCGCTAGAGCACGGGTCTTTTCGGTCAACAACTCCATTCTCAACACGGTCGTGAAGACTCGGAATGGGTGCGCTGCTAGCGCTTCTCGGTCCTTCGGTCTAAATGCGGTTGCATGCATGGGAAACCCGGCGAGAGTCAGGTCGTAATACCCAACGGGGAACATGCCCATGACAGCGAACATGCGACGGATAGTTGCGAGCTCATGGGCAGTCCCCAACCGGATGGCGCCGTGTCTCTCGACCCGATGCCGTGCGGGAAGAACGTCGTCCGGGTCGATGGCCACTCCCCCCTCTACTTCCTGGCTGGCTCGGACAGCGGCTGCGTCCGCTTCCCAGACAATGTCCATAAGATCCCCGTACAGAGGGACCTCGGTCTTATACATCTCTGAGAGAGCCTTGCAAAAACGAGCCCGCAGGGAGTCCTGCGTCCATTCCTCCATGGCGACGCTTTATGCTTCTCGATCTTACTATCAGAAAGAGTCCTAGGTGCTGTCTCTTTGTGTGGTCGAGACAGCCGGCAAAGAAAGTCAGATCAGAAAGAGGGGCTTAATTTTTGCTTAAAAGACTTGAGTGCCGAGCCAGGAAGAGAACCTCCTCGTGGGTGATTTGCTCCGCGATATATATCATGGACTATCTACTCCGTGATCTAGACTTATCTTGACCTGTTATCCATGTTATCCAGTTAGTGGGTGGCTTATCAGAGACAGTGGCCGTCGGAGCCGAGTGGAAGACCCGATTGTCATCCAACTAGGTAAGTCTAGCCAACCAGGTCAGAGAAAGGGCTCACGAGCGAATCACTAGGTCTGCTTATTTCTATTGATCACCAAACCAGCGTAATAGTGCCGTCGGGCTCTCGACGGTATCCGTATCTCCGTCACGCTTCGCCTGGTTGGGTCGTAGTACCCTCGGCTCTCCGCTCCTTGAAGCGTGAGTAACCGGCTGACAGCCTCACGTTTCGTCGAAGCCCTCAAGGGATCGACCGGGCTGGTCTTGTCCTTGGAAACCTTTCCAACTCTGCGGGGTAACTATTGCGGAGATGCTGGCAAGGGATGGGCGGGAGATTTACCATCATATAGAAACCTCCAATCGGATGAGCTTATGTTCCGTCGGATGGATGTGTTTCGATCCCTTTCGGTTGTCCAACTTATTATTGCATCCCTACCTAGGTACCATATTGATTGAAATTGATCAGCATCCTTGTGCACTTCCGTCTCGTCCAGTATTCGCTGGTGGAAAAGAGTATTAGGTCAGTGACTACAATCCATTCTTAGGATGCAGATCATCTATCATCTACACAGATAGGTCGACATCAAACATCTTGTACTTAATCCCAATCTATAAACATGATGTTATATTCTAACGGTTCTTGCTAGACCTCTAAGATTATTATTGTAGGGAGAAACAGCAGGGATCTCTGGTCTAAGTTATTAATTGCGGCATCCGGACAAGATAACAACAAGATGAACGCAGCTTCGGTTTGAGCGAGCAGTCTATTAGCCTCAACCTGATTTCATACATCATCTATGCAGGGAAACAGAACGGTCATCTAACTTATATCCCCCCTCCCGGCTCTTCTCCTCGCCTGGGGATGCATTTCTAAACTCATTTCTAGAAGGCAGCCAAATCTTCCTGCCTGAGGCAACAGAACTCGGATTAAACCCGTATAACTAAGATTTATGTACATAAATCTTCTGCTCGTTCCGTCGGATATCTTCAACAGCAACTATAGGGTATTCTTGTCCTGAATACCTGAAATGATGGTCTCAGAGTTGATTATGACCTATTACTCCGAACTCTGCTTTACCTATTGCCAGTCACTGGCAAGGGTCAATATCCGACGGGTCTCCCCTCTTTTTACCCCCCCATCCGCTCCGACGGATGCCGCAGACTTTCCAATCCAGAATGGATGATTTGCAGAGTTGGCGGCAGGGAAAGGATTTACGGAGTACTGCAGTTTGTCTGTACTCTGTACGCCATATCAGATCCTTGTGATTTGTTATTCCGGGGAAGAAATACGGGGATATGGAGAAGTGGTGATTGTAGTAGTGAGTTTCAGAGGTGTATACTCAACTTATATAAAGGGAAAGCAGAACCACTTCTCTCTCATCATTAAGCAGTTCATTACTACTTACCTATTATCCTATAAACTCCTTCTTAAGTCTATCTATCTATCTATCTATTCGACATGTCTGGAGTCAACGGTCTCAGTGACCGCACCCGCGCCAAATGGGCTGGCGCCGTAGACCCCGAGGAAATCGCCAAAACACTGCCCCGGATGCTTGACCTGACGACCGAGAATATCACGGAGAATGTAGTCAAGATCAACTCGTTATGCAAGGATCCCCGCCTGCGCTACCTGATCACCAAGCTGGTCAAGGCGTTGCACGACTACGCCCGGGATGTGAATCTGCAGTTTGATGAGTGGGAGAAGGCGTGGCAGTTTTTGACGGAGGTATTCTTCACACACACACAGAGAGAGGGAGAGAAGAGTTCTCTTGTTAATCAACTAGGTCGGTCAAATCTCCACCGATGTGCGTCACGAATTCGTGCTGTTGTCCGATATTCTCGGCCTGTCCGCCCTGGTGGATTCGCTCTCCTATCCCACCGTCCCCGGTGCGACGGAGTCTTCTGTCCTGGGCCCCTTCCACGACGAGGAAGCCCACTCGCTCGAGCTGGGCGGTTCCATCACCGCAGAGGGCACCCCCGGCGAGCCGACGCTCGTCCGTGGTGTCATCAGCGATACAGATGGGAAGACTGTCTCCCGGGCGTTGGTCGATGTGTGGGAGACGGATGGGAATGGGGTCTACGATGTCGAGTATGAGGTCAAGGAAGAGCCAAACTGCAGGGGGAAGGTCTTCACCGACGACCAGGGCAATTATGTCTTCCGCTGTGTCAAGCCTGTCGCGTATCCTATCTCCAACGACGGTCCCGTGGGTGAACTTCTCCGCACCTTGAACCGTCACTGGTTCCGCCCGGCACATATGGTATTACCTCCTTCTCTATCCTCTCTGAGCATTCGTTTTGTTAATGTTTTTGTTTTAGCATTTCATGATCGCACACCCCGAGTACACCAAGCTGATCACGGCGCTGTACTCGCGAGACAGCAACTATGTCGAGACTGATACGGTGTTTGGGGTCAAGCAGAGCCTGATCGTCGACTATAATTGGTGCGAAGACCTGGAGCTGGCAAAGAAGTACGATCTGGAGCCCATGGTGAGGACTATCGATGGGAAGGAACACAAGGGGTTCTGGTTGCTGGAGAAGGATTTCGTCTTGATCAAGAAGTCTCCTCCGGCGCCTCGCAAGGTGAGAGATGATTAGATAGTTGGGAACCATCCTCTCCAGCGAGATATGTCTTTTTTTTCTTTTTCTCTTTGTCTTTTCTAAAATCTCGGTTGCTGCTTCAATGTCATGGTTGTTTGTCTTGTCTTGTAATGCTATGAGCCAGAAAAACGGCTTCTTACTTTAACAACCTCACGGAAAAGTGTAGTCTCGCAATGCAGATTAAAAATACAACACTAGCCTCTACTGTACATACTTCTTCAAAAGAATATTGCCCTATGCCTTGACCTCGATTCTCGGGCTAGTAGCCGAATGCTCCATGACAACCGCGCCCTCGGCCAGCAGCTCCTCCGGAGTCTTGACCCGCAGTTCCATGATCCTCATGAGGGTGTGCTTGTGCTTGCTCTTGACCTTGCGGACATGCCGTTGTCTCCGCTTCGTCTTTTCTTTGACGGTCATGGGCTCGGCATCGACGCCCAGAACACGAGCCCGGCATTCAAACAGCCGTTCGTCGAGATACGGCGCCCCCTTGAGCGTGAAGTCCCGAGATCCAATCACAGACGCCCGGTTCAGTCGGATGATATCCCCGGCCTTGACTTTGGGCATCTTGAAGGGCAGCCGGACGTGGTCGCCCTCCGTCACCAGGTACGGCCGGTCGTGCAGGTGGGCAGAGATGTAATGCGAGCCCTGCGAGGTAAGGTAGGGAAGCGTCTCGAGCAGCGACTGTGTCACCTGCACCGGAGAGTCGAACTGCGGTGCAATCGGTTGTTTTGCTGGCGGGACATCGGCGCGAGTCTGTGGAGGTGTAGGGGGGAGAACCGATTCTGCCGGTGTGCTGCTGCTTGTCTCCAATGGAGATGCTGATGGCTGTGACTCGGCAGCGGATTGATGCAGGCACGCGCGTTGAGGGAGGAGCACGCTGAGGGACGGCGAGGAGAGAGGACGCTGTTGTGTCCACCGCGCGAGGCGGAGCGTCGATCGAGAAAACATGGCGAAAACTGCAATCCGCTGGATTTCAATAATCTCGTTCGTATTCTAATAGACAGTTCGCGTGTCGCTCGCTGCTGTGGTTGATAGTCGAGAGTCTCCGACGAGACGTTGATTTTCCCCGTCGAGAAATTCCGTCCAGCTGCGCAAGTGGCCGCTTTGGCCGCCGTAGTCACGTGGCTGGCGGAAATTTCTCCCTCCCGGCTCTTCGCAGGAAAATCAGCTCTTTCCTGGGACGATGCACTGCATGGAATACTCTTTCGTCTTCCCTGTTGACAGAAATCTATTGTGATACCCCATCAGGCCAGTTCTGGAGGAACCACCAGGGGACCGTTTATATCACGTGATTTTATCAGTGCCAAGATTTCAACCGCAACTTTTTTATCTCGTCGACTCGAGCGACTCCAACCCCCCGCCGAGCAGAGAACCGCTGCTGCCATCTCATCAGAGTTCCTCTTTTCGTATATAATAGAGAGCGTCGTTTTCATTCGCCGTTCAAAATGGTGCGTTGGCTGTGATGACCTTATTGCCTGTCCTGTCCAGACGGTACTGACGAGTGTGTCTCAAAATAGCCCCAGAACGAGTACATCGAACGCTTCCAGAAGCAGCACGGCAAGCGGCTGGACCACGAGGAGCGGACGCGCAAGCGCCAGGCCCGTGAATCCCACAAGCAGTCGAAGGATGCCCAGAATCTACGCGGTCTGAGGGCCAAGCTGTACCAGCAGAAGCGTCATGCGGAGAAGATCCAGATGAAGAAGCGCATCCGCGCCCAGGAGGAGAAGAACGTCAAGTCCTCGGCACCCGACGAGCCTTCCAAGACCCCGCTGCCCAACTACCTGCTCGACCGGTCGCAGGCGACAAACGCCAAGGCCCTGTCGAGCGCCATCAAGGACAAGCGTGCCGAGAAGGCGGCCAAGTTCGCCGTGCCCCTGCCCAAGGTCAAGGGTATCAGCGAGGAGGAGATGTTCAAGGTTGTCAACACGGGCAAGAAGACTCACCAGAAGTCCTGGAAGCGCATGATCACCAAGCCCACTTTTGTCGGCAACGATTTCACCCGGAGGCCCGTCAAGTTCGAGCGCTTCATCAGTGAGTTTGGCCTAAGTAATCAGTCAAGATCTTCTATGCTGACTATTTTTTCCAGGACCCATGGGTTTGCGTTACAAGAAGGCCAACGTCACACAGTATGTTTTTCTTTCTCTTTTTTTCTTCGCCTTGCGGGGGGAAAAAAATGTCTCTATGAATCAAATCTAATCTGTAAAGCCCCGAACTCGGCGTCACCGTCCAATTACCCATCCTCTCCGTCAAGAAGAACCCGCAGAACCCGCTGTACACGCAGCTGGGCGTGCTCACCAAGGGCACCGTCATCGAAGTCAACGTCTCGGAACTTGGCCTCGTCACCACGAACGGCAAGGTTGTCTGGGCCAAGTATGCCCAGGTGACCAACGATCCCAGTCTGGACGGCACTGTCAACTGGTGAGAACTCTTTTTTTTTTTCTTTCTTTCATTTCTCTTCTAAGGGAGACATATGCTGACTTTTTTAAAGCGTCCTTTTGGTCTAGATCACTACCGAATCTTTTCTCTCCTGTTTATTTTGGGTTTCAGGCCGGCGTTCTGGAGCATGCATGCCATATGACTGTTGCACGACGGATAAAAAGTAGTAGTTTCTCATAGCTAGTTAGTTGCAATAGATCAAACGATGAAGCGTACATATCCAAATGCATGTTGAATCTACTTGTACTCTTACTAGATATTATGACTTGGATAGAAACTTACAAACGATTTGATTATTCAGAAAGCTTATCCAAATTATATTATGGATATATATCAAGGTGAAACTCCCAGTCAAACCCGCCGATGCAATCATGTCCCAAGAAGACATCTAAATGATGCAGTGCTTGAACGCTTCAGCAGAAACATATAGAGAGAGAGAGAGAGAGAGAGAAAGGGGGGAGGGCTATCCGAAAAAGCCCGTATGAGCCAGTCCGTCCATGTAGAGTGGTAGACCCAAATAGATACAAGAAAAGGAAAAGAAAGTCGGACCAACGAGGTCAATAGAAACAAACAGAGGAAATAGGCGGCTGACAGAGCCGGACCGTAAAACGCCAATCATTAGATCATTCAATGGTAAGAGAAAAGGGAATAAATAAAAAAGAAAAAGAAAAAGACAAGATCTAGAGGTTCGGTCAACTGTTCTGTTCTTCTAACGCTGCTTTGATTTTGTCAAAGAATCCCGCCGGCCAGGCAGCTAATTCTTCGTCTTTGGGCACGCCGCGAACACGACAGTGATTCACGACATTGGCCAGGATCCGGCCGAGCATGTCCTGTGTGATGGGGACGGAGCCCTCGAGTTGGGCGTCGGGGTAGAGGAAAGGGTCCCGGTCGCTCAGAAGCTCCTCGACAGTCGGCCGGAGGGTCTGGTCGCGCTGGAGGCAGCGCTTCAGCGTTCGGAGCAGGCCGGGCGGTACCATGACGCCCCCGACGCCGTAGGCCGGAAAGTCGATCTGGACTTTTGGGTTGGGGATCGCCATGATGCGCTCGTAGTACTTGGCGATCTTCGCAAAGGGGGGCTGGCCATACACCATCTTGTAAAGGATGCACCCCAGACTCCACACGTCACTGGGCTTCCCGAGCTTCATCACTTTTCCCACGCTCGCCGGCAAACCAAGCGAGGCGTTTGAGTCGATCAGAGCCTCCGGGGACATGTAGTTCGGGGTCCCGACCTGCTGCTCGCGATGCACGTTGACCGTGTTGTCTTGAATGGCATTGGCAATGCCGAAATCGATCAGTTTGAGGCGGCCCTGGACCAGGAGGAAGTTGGCCGGTTTCAGATCGGAGTGGACAATGTTGAAGCTGTGGACGGCTTGGACACATTCCAACATCTCTTTCCAATAGTAACGAGTGAAGTTGATATCAAAAATGGCATCTTCCGCGTTCAGACGATAAGTCAAAATCTTTTCCAAATCAGATTCTCCAATCTCCATCAGTACACTGAGAGTATGCTTATCCTGGTTGAGCTCCCAGTCAAAGAGGCGCACGACTCGCTCAACATTCTCCAACTTCTTCAGCAAATCAATCTCACCCTTGTACCCGGTCAGGGTCAGGGGGTCGACGTCTTCGAGGTTCACCCTCTTGAGTGCAAAAATCTTGTAATTTTCCGCCATGACCCTGTAGACTCGGGAGCTGCCACCACGACCGATGCAATCCAAGCGGGTGAACGGCTTGTGGTTAACCGAGACCTGGCTGCGCTTCTTCCGCGATTGAGAGGCTGTGGAAGCGCCCCCCGTCGCCGTGGCAGTCTCAAGCACCGACATCTTGGGCGGCGGGGGAGCAGGTCGGTGCGGGGTGTTGCTGCTCCGAGTGGAAAGGATCTTTCTTTCGGAATGGGCCGCAGGGACCTCAGGAGCCTCCGCCTCCTTCTTCTTCTTCTCATCGGCATAGATGACGGAGTACTTCTCGGGTTTATCCAACAGGTTAAATCCCTGAGACTTGACGCGCTTGAATGTTGGCGGGGGCTCATTTTCTTGATCCCGCGTGGCGGGTAGCGGGGGCAATGGAGGTACCTTGAATACCGGTTGTTCCCTCTCACCGGATGACTTGAGTGACGATCCCTCTGATAAGGAGCCCGGGGTGGACTTGATGTTCGATCCATAGGATTTCGGGGAAGTTGAGCGCGAAAATAGTCCGTCGCCGGCAACCCCATTGACCACGTCTGGAGAGCGCTTCCCGCCACTGGTGGGTTGGGGCATTGAATCTGCCCATGAAACCATGGGAGATGACGACGATTTGGCTCTGTCTCTGGCATGAGGCTCGCCAATATCCTCGCCCTCTTCTAGTCCGGTTTCGTTGTTCTCCTCGCTCTGTCTCCGCAGGACACCTCTTCTTGCCGGTCCGTTTAGAAATGTGCCTGTCAGGCGTCCAACTCTCTTGACTCGGATGGAGCTTTGCATCCCGACTTCTTCTCCGCTGCGAGCACGAAGAACCGATGCAGTACCGATGCGCGGCGCGTCATCTTCATACCTTGCCCTGTATTCATCCTCCGAGCGGCCTGCACTCCCGTAATCTCCTCCTTCTCGACTCCTTTCAAGAGATCTGCCGTGACTCGGGGAGATGGATGCCGGGGATTGAGAGTGGCTGCGTGAGCCGGAGATGCGAACACTCCGCAGCCGCGGAGCAGGAGTAATCAGATCAATTGCACGCTCCCTTGAATCATACTCCTGGGTTTCATTGCGTGATGATGACAAGGCAGAACCCTCCCGTTTGGCACTACCCACCCGCACGATTCTCGGTGCCGGACTCCCATTAGAGGAATTACTGGGGGAGGCCATCCGAAAAACGCGCTCATTTTTATTTGTCATGGTGGAAAGGGGCCGTTCATTGCTCCCTTGGAACACTTCTTTAATGCTGTTTTGTAGGCGCGGAGACGAGCCCAGGCCATCCTCACCCAAAAGCGCTTTGACGGATGCGCTGAATTTCGGTTCGGGGACCTCCTCGTCCGAGCTATCCCCTCCTGCAGAGTACTTCTTGGCCATCCCTGACCCACTCGCTGCTGATCTCGAGCTCTGGATCTCTGGGGATGTTCGTCGCGAGCTGGTTCTGGAGAGCGCAGAGCGAGACATTGACCGGGTGGATGGTTGGCGGCGTAACGCGGCGTCGTAGGTCGATGAATACGGCGTTGGCGATGACATTGCGGCGAGCTGCTAGCTACATTGACGTGCTAGGCTAGGTGTAGGTCGAGGAATAAGGGTCGCTTGGCCTGCGAAGGGCGTTGGTGGTCGGTTTGCCAGCGGTTGTTGTCGTCGTTCGGCTCTGGTGTTGAGTTGTCGTTCCAGAGGAAGCTAAACACGAGGCGCGATATTATAGTCACGTGAATATGCTGTCGCCTAGGCAACAAACAAACAGTGGTAGAGAGAAACTCAGCTACAACGTTCTCGAGTAGTATTCCTTTTATTGTCTTATTTATTCCATGTAGTATAGATAATTCAAATGGCCTAGAATGAATAAACACTGTCGAATATTAGTCTTATCAATTGGGAGGAGCGACTGAGCAGAGTCTACAGGCGTACTGGTTACTTCTAGATGAACACATATTTTCAATTTATTTAGATAATATATTATGGTAGTTAAGATATATTTATATACTTATTTTGGAACCAGTTCAGTATGCCTGCTACGTACGATTTACTCTGGAGTACTTTATATATATCTGAAGCACAGGATACCAACAACTTTGATAGCAGAAAATCAATTCAGAATGACCACCCGAGTACAACACGGCAAACAAAAGAATAAATATTACTCCTGTCAATTAATTCATTATAAGCATATGAAAGCCTCAGTGGAGCTTCCACGTCAATGATGACGATGTACTATTGAGAGGCCGAAATCAACACTCAATAGTCATAGCTACGTAGTTCTGAACCCATTACGTACGCAAAGTAACTACTGGGAGGACTGAGTATATACTCCATACACAGCATGTTTCTTCGAAGAACTTCGCACTCGGTACTGCGTAGAGCGGCAGTTACCAGATTGTGACCTGTAGCAATTCTCGAAGAGATCTGCAGTCTGCGAGTCTCTTCGTGCGCTCAGGGCTACAGTATTGCCATCTCAGCCGTCGTACGCGTGGTCTATTTCCCAAGAGACAAAGAGCGTGGAAAAAGTGATCTATCGGGTTACGATTCAGGGTGTCTGGGTGTTCAAGGTTTTCTTCCAGCCAAGACCTATACTCCGTGATCTATTGACTAGGCCATCCCGTAGGTCACTAGGTACGAACCAACCAATATATTAGCTCTTAGTTATGGTGTTATTATAGTTACAGACCTGTATAGATATAGCTTCCTGGGTGTCTGGTTCATACGAGGGAATCCGAATACGGCCTGCCTTAACAGACAGTTGATATAGACCAGGGCAGTGGGGCAATGCCTGGAGAAAACAGAGAAATAGTCAGCCACCGTCACCGCAGATTGGTTCTTGCACCCAAGGGGACTGATAAATACCTCAGCTGTTATTATTGACTAGTAGCAAACGCACGCAGTTCCTGTCTGTAGGTTGTACCGAGTACGGAGGACCCAAGAGGTTGCCCAGCAGTTAGTCAGTAGTTAGTCTGTCAACTCATAGTATTCCTGGCTTCCTGGCTTAGCAGTTGTTGTCACGGGATACGGGTACGTCGGAACTTGGAAGCCGGAATCGTCGGATGTTGTTTGGCTTGTTTGGCTTGTTTGGCTCAGCGGAACTCGACCGACTCGCCCCTTCCTCAACTGGAAACTGGCAACTGCTCCGTGAGTTCAACCTCCTCCTCCTCCTCCTCCTTCGCCTTCTCCTTCGCCTTCTCCTTCTCCTCCAGCCTCCTCAAGAAGAAGAAGGAAGAATCAGGGTCGGAAGCGACTACGGAGCAGCTACCAGCTTTGAGAGTATCTATTCTTGGACTCTTGCTGGCTGAAACGACCGGAGGAATCAGGTTCCAGCCTCAAACAGTCGCTTCCCTGGATCGTGGAGGTTCATGGTGGTTCGTGGAGGTGGTGGTGTTGTCGGGGTTGTGCAGCCCAGCTTCTAGGATCCATGGATGACTCGCTTCCCAGGTCGCACCATTTGCTACGGAGAGTTTGGGACGGAGTGGTGGAGCACTGGACTCATGGAGACCTGGGTGAGTCTCAGGAACACCCGCTTTGAGTCCCGTTTTTTGAGCTTCGTCTGTTGCTCCACACGCTAAACTATGCAGGAACACAACAGGGATTCATTAACTATGGCTTAGCCACCGTTTCACTGCTGCCCCTACCCTGCTTGGGTCTAGGCTAGTGTTTTTAGGTTTCCCCCCTTCTTGTGCTTCTGAGCATAGTACTCCGTACACTACGCTGTACTACTTCTTCCCTCGGTAGATAGTTGCTAAACGGAGTCTTATTGCTCTCAGCTAACCGGATTCAGGGTGCCTGTGCAGATGCTTTTCTTGAACCGTGCCCCTCCTCTGCCCCCCTCTGTGGCCCGCCCATTCTAGATCCGTCCATGCTACCGCGTGTACTTACTACTCCTTACTGCTGCTTTCTCGGCTGCGAAATCGTACTCGACCGGAGTTTCACCTTCTCCTTCCTGGGGGTTTAGAAAGGGTCAACCCGGCCATGGTTTGCTCGGCGGAAGAAGGGGTCTTTTTCGCCCACCAGTTCGCATTGCACCTGTAACACTGGTGGTTGCTATTCTTAGCAACCATTTCTGTTTGCTTTCTGCCCTGGTAGCAGTAGCTTCTTGAGGGTTTCCGAAGGGAAGGGGGGGGGGGGGGGGGTCGGGCAAGTTGCCCACCAACGCTGCCCTTTTTTGCGTATGCATGGGAAAACCTGTGATTCTGGACCGCTCTTTTTCAAATTGGCCAGTTGCCATGTGGGAAAGAAAAAAAAAAGGAAAAAAAAGAGAGAAATCAAGGAAAACTTAGGGACTGTTAAAATACCTTTCCTGGTCACATACTCCACTTGATGATGGACAAGGCCTACAGGCTACGGGGCAGTAGTAAGCCGTTTCCCTCCCGTCGTACTTACGAGAACTACCAGCCGTGGGGATCTTTGGTGGTGATCTTTTCGTGGGCTTACCTTTGCTGGTGAAAAGAGTGTGGATATGGCATGGTGATCAGCAAACCGACAGGCCTCTCCCATTGGGCTGGCTGTTTTCTCTCCCGCCAAAAATACCACTGGATGACGGATCCGACTGCTGATCTCAATGCCACATTTCCCTGGGGAATAGCCACCGTCTCTCCGATTTACATGAGCACGTTACGGAGTACTATGTACTACCTATGTACCGAGTAATCTCCGGCCTTGCTGTTGACCTCTCCAGCTAGCTGCACAATTGAGAGACAAGATGGGCTGGGTTATTATTGGATTAGTTGCTAACTAATCGCTCCATCACCTCAAAAATGCGCATGGCACTCTTGACCGGCGCTCTTAACTAATAGTTCCCCTATGGTCCCTTCCCAGCCTTGGCCTCTCTTTGTTTCCACCGGCTGCTGTCCGTATGGGGCATGGTTTTTCCAGTATGGTGTCCCGAAATAGGTGAGTGGCCCGGTCGTTTCGGATGCTTCCCTTTTCCAACGGACCTCGGCCAGCCTGTTATGCGATTGCTTCCACCTGCACCATGCGATCCACTTCTGGGTCAAAGATCTGGGTCCTCAGATCAGACGGTAGTGCCCTGAAGAGCTGGCTGTGGCTGCTAGCCCGTCCCTAGTGCCACTCTCTCCCCTCTCGGTGTGGAATACCGGGGTATAGGCTCCGTCACTGCGAACTCCTTGAGCGAAGTACGCGAGTACCTATGTGCGTGCCATTATTATTCTCCAGCGGCCCAGGGGGTATATATATTATGATCATTGTCTCCCCTTCTCACACCTTCGTCCTCACCCATCAATCAACTGTCGTTGTTGATATTCAATCTTTCTTTCTTTCCTTTTTTTCCCCTTTCCTTTTCTCTGTTATTGTACTTTGGTCTCAACCACACTCTTTACTGTGACTGCTTCTGGTCAGTCCTCAGTCAATCGTTGCCAGCTTCCAAGGGTTTTTACCCTTAATCCGTCATTCGTGACCTGCTATACAAAGAATTTCTCTCTCTCTCTCTCTTTCTGAACACTTTTCTCCTATAATATCTGTACCCTCACTATGCGTTATCAACTTCTGCTTCTCGCCAACTTGGCGGCGTATGCTCTCGCCGCCCCGACCACTAATGCGCTGGATCGCCGCAGCTTCATTTCCTCGATCATCAGTGATCTCGGCGTCGACCTGAGCTCCATCCTCGATGCCGTTCTTGGGGGCAGCGTCTCCATCTCGGCGGAGACCTTCACCACTATGTCTGCCAAAGCAGCTGCCGCTCTGGAAGGAGGTGCCCTGGGTTGCTCGGCTGGCACCATCCATTCCGAGGCTCGCAGTGACCTCAAGGTGTGGCTCGAGGCCCTGGATGATAGCTCCTTCGACTCCTCACTGAAGGCCTCCCTCTTGGACTGGTGTGACGGGGATGACTCTGTCACCTTGTCGACCGACGTCTGCGCTGGCCTCGCACTCTACATCCCCACCTGTGCCGGTATCGCCGCCGCAGGTGATCTCTACGTTACCGTTGACGGTATCCTCGGAGCCGCCGACCTTGAGAGCGAGGTCTGCCTCTCCTCCTCCGCTCAGACAACCCTCACCACCTTCCTCTCTGGCTCTGCCGGCGTTGCCCTCGACGCCGATATCCGCGGTGCTCTGGGACTGTGCGCGGCTGGTGGTGTCGTCAGCGGCCTGTCTGCCGATATCAAGGCTACCCTCAAGACCTGGGTTTCGGGCTCTAGCTGCACCCTCAGCTCCTCGCTCCAGACTGCTGTTCTGGCCTGGCTGGAGGGTAGCACTAGCACGGATGTCATCGTCGTCGGTGATCTTTCCACCGAGGCCCTGACCTGCGTCTCTGTCGGTGCCGCCGTCGGTGCCCGTGTCGACTCCAGCGGTATCCTCTCCTCCAGCGCCCAGGCTTCCATCTCTGCCTTCCTCGAGACCGACCTCGGTGCTGAGCTCGACACCTCCATCACCGATTGCCTCAACGTTTGCGCCGAAGGCGGCGTTTCTACCTCTCTGAGCGCCGATGTCCGTCTTGCCTTTGCCACCTGGCTGTCTGGCTCCAGTTGCTCCATCGGTGCTGAGCTCAAGTCCGTCCTTCTGTACTGGCTCTCCATCGGTGTCTCGTCCGACATTTCCATCACCCTCACCACCTCCGAGATCACTTCGATCAGCACATGGCTCTCTGGCTCCGTTGGCTCCGACATCAGCGCTTCCCTGAAGGGCTCTATCGGTGCCTGTACCGCGGGCGAGACCATGACTGTCCTCTCCGCCGAAGCCCTCGCCGAGCTGTCTGCCTTCCTTGGCGGCTCGGTCGGCATTGACATCGACACCGACATCCTGATCATCCTCATCTCCTGGTCGAGCGGCTGCAGCATCTCCGGCACCGGCTCTTCATCGGGCTCTGGCTCTGGCTCCGCCTCTGCCAGCGTTGCTTTCCCCAGCGCCACCCCCACCAGCGTTTCCTCCGGCTCGGGCTCCTCTGGCAGCTCGGGCTACGGCTCCGGTTCTGGCTCCGGCTCTGCATCCATCTCTGCCTCCGTCTCTGGCTCTACCGGTACCTCTGGTAGCTCTGGCTC